GTCAAACGGAGAGCAGAGCAGTGATGCCGCCCTCTCAGACGCTTGGATCCTGTGTTTTTTACTGTAAATCCGCAATGAAGTCATCAACATGATACGAAAGAGAACGTTAGACCTCCAGCTTCTTCGAGAATAGGCCAATCCTGTTGATCCTGTATATTACAATATGGTTTGAATGCAATCGCTGCCTTCTTGGACATATATTTATTCTGGCCTTTTCTCCTATAGGATTTCCTTAGTCTCCTCTTGAGCCCATCTTCGGCAGATACCTCCCACTGCCATTCGATTCATTTCCACAGACTACTAAAATGCCTTGTTTATCTGACAGTTTCCCTGTTTCAGTGGCTATCGGAGGTTGTGGTCTCAAAAGGGACTGTTTGCAATTGCCTCGCGAATCACATCAGAGGGCGGGTGAGAAAGAAATAAAAAATAAATATTCCTGCTAAAATAATGGCGTGTGAATCATCAAGCTTCTCCGGGACTGCTCCTTCAAATCCGTCACGTTATACGCCGATTGTTGGGGTTGTCGTCGTGACTGAAACACGGTTATCAATAATATCCTGCTTTTAGTGTCAATACGGTTTCCTTCAAGATGCTGGTGCCGCTTTTTGAGTAGGGTTTGACCAGACCCCAGAAAGGCCCCTTGTCCGTTCTTTTTCTGTCTGTGTGGCGTTAATTTGTATTTCTCCTCACATCGGAAAGCCTCTCCGCAGGTTTTCCCCCAGTTTGTCCTTGGATATAACGCAATAACCAGGTGGTATCTGTGTGAAGGCGCTGTTATTTCCCCGTTTGGCGCATGCACAGCCCACTGTCAAGTCTCGCAGCTTTTTGTATTCCCTTTGAATCCGTATGGCAGATTGTGGTTACATGTGCATGATACATGAACATACCGCGGTGTTTGCAGCTACTAAATCCGACGGTGGCAGCTCTTTTGGCGGCGTAGCCTCCGAAGAATCACCCGGGGAAATGCGAGGCGTTTGTTCGCAGCGTTACCCTGAATTATTTGGCCCTCTTTTTTCTCTGAGGATTGTACATTGAGACAGATAGCGCTGTGGAGGTGGGGTGGGGCAAACCGCTCTCACGGAACCCTGGGAACGCACAGTGAGGCGCGTGAAGACAACCACTGGACCAAGCAACTTCCGGCGGAAACTTTCACACTAAAAAGACACATGGAAGTTTCTAGTTGAAAGATGAAACTTATGAAGTAAGAGAGTAATTTATTTCCAAAGCACAAGAGCTAATAATTCAGTCTTATGTTTTATAGAGAGTGAAAAGTGAAACATATTATGAAAAAAAGAGTGTTTAATTCATTTTAAGTGCAAGAAGAATTCTTGCTGAAGTAAGATTTATTTATTTATTTTTTAATCTTAAAGAGGAATCTATGGGGAGGTAATCAAAACATGCTTTTAGAGTTCCCTGAGTGGTGATTATGGGAGGAAAAATTGGTCTTTCTTCCACATTGACTGTATAAATTGCACAATTTAAATCAAATTAAAATCTCAGCATCCTCTCAGGGGTCAGAGATAATCGAACGCTCATACATTGAGGATAAGATCTACAGTGGTTGTTCTGAATGCTTGATATGTGTTGATATATGTTACATGCAATTTAAAGTACAATAATAGCCTATTATTGTAACGGTAGCATTTATTTATCTTATGTATGTCTTTTTTTTAATTTTATTTTATTTTTCATTTTATTTTTTTACTTAATTTGTTATTCCCAAGTACTTTGTTATCATAGAGGCCTATTTTTTTGTATCTAACATCTTTCTTTGTCAGTGTCATATAGAGATTCTGTTTGAGGAATTAAGTTAGTATTCACTACTCAGGTATAGGTTGTGGTCATGAATGCATAAATCTCAGACTACCTATTATTTGTAATTTTAGTTTACATGTATTGAGAATTCTACAGGAATTAAAAAAAAAAAAAAAAAAAAAAGATACCGGACAGCCTAAAAACAATGTAATGCAGCCAGCACTGCATGCAATTGGATGGTAAAGTTTCAGTTATAATGAGAAAATTCAAGATACATGAATAGTGTATTTTATTATGGGAGGCCAAAATGTTTTGTTGATAAATAATAGCCTTGAAAAAAAAAAAGAACAAGATATTACAATTACTTAGGGTTTACTAAATAATGAAAGAAAACTCCCAGTTCACACACATTTTGTGACATCATTAATAATTGATATGGTCAAGAACAGGACTTTAACTTGTAAAAACTTGGGCTAACTGATAAATTGTTATAAAAATACATGTATATATTTGTTAAAACATACGCCTAAATAACTCATTAGATTAACAGCGTACAGGGTACAAAGAGCACATTTAATTTTATCTAACAATACTTGAACTCAAAAATAAAACTTTTATTTTAGCTTTTATTTTGAAACATGCCGTGCAGGGCGGACTGTTCCCTTGTTGTCGTGGCTTGACCATAGACCGTATAAACTGACCGGAGCAGGGCAGGATCCATGGGCTGGATCACATGACTGACTAAAGCGTCGTGAAGCAGAGGTACAGAGGGGGACAGAGGCGCCTTCTTTGAAGCAATTTTTATTAACTATCTTCTTAAATACAATCATCAACAGTCCTAAAAATATAAAATAAGGTAAGAAATTGGATAAGGCTAACTGCATGAAACACAACAAAAACTAGGCATTTGATGATTTCCCCCCCAAATTTACATTCAGTTTTAATGGCCGGTCGTTTCTACTACAGGCTATAGGCTAGGGTTACACAACAAGATACGATAGAAATAAAATGACTGGATTGCAAGTAGCACAGAAATAAATACTTGACTTTCTGAGAATTTACCAAGTTATAACCATGGACCTGTAATAGTTTTTATTATATTATACTATACTTATTCTGCTTCAAATGGTTATAACCAGGTCTAATAGATCTAACCAATTCTGAACATGGTCCTAAATAAGCTCCAGTGGAGACCGAAATATAAATCAAATCCATAATAGAAGTAAAGCACAATTTGCCGAGGACCTGGAGTAATGACCAACCAGTTTGAGAACAATGGTCTAGGCACTATAAGTCAAGGCCTATTTCAGTTTTGTTTTTTTTACCCCAGAACCAAAATTACAGTGATGCTGTCTCTATGGATTGCCTTCTGAATGTACTATATGTCTTCAGTGTTGAATTTAATGCAGATAACCCTTGTTTCTTTTTATTGATGCTATATTGTCGCCATGCATCTTTTTAAAATCTAACCTTCTGGTATATGCTGCAAACTCTGTTTTAGAAGGAATTTTAGATAATTGTATTATTGCATCTATAATATCACTTATAATGTTGAAGAAGATGGTGTTATTCTTATTTATTTTAATTTCAGTGTCACCCCTTTAAATTAAACACAAAGACACTGATATAAAAGGTTTGTTTATTTGTTGCTGTTGTTAAAGGGCAGAAAGTCTCAGTGTATCGTGACTTAAGCCAATTTGTAGCCCCAAAACCCTCATTTATCAAGTTTGAACAGAAAAATAAGGCAAGGAACATAAGGGTGTATATATGTCTAGCTTATGGAGAATGTGTGGATTTATAGGTACTACTCAAGTCCTACCAAGTTCATCATGTCTTTTGCTCAACGTGACCCATTCTCAGTGTGCAGGCCTGGTTCTTTCTAGGGCACGCACTGTTCAAGCCGAGACACCTGCCCCACTCCTATCCTTGAGCCTGAGCTGAAATGGAGCTTCTGTTTGTGACTAAACTACTATACATTACTGCAGCCACTACCACCTCCTTTTACAGAAGCTTGTCACAATATTGACTCAATAAGTAATAGTTGGAAATATATTGAGGTCAGTGTGTATATATCTGTTTGCATATGTTTAATTATTTGTACTGTTTTGTGTTGTGTATTTTCTGACAATATATCAACCTTCAAAATGTGGTATTGTTACAGGCCTGCTTCCATTATTATTCCTGTTATGACTTCTAAATAGACTACTCCACCTCCCATTACCTTCAGACTAATGCTTTTGAATTAGCTAATGAATTAGGCTACCTCGCTCTATCCTTCAGGGGTAGCTGCCATATAGGCTGTCCTGGGACCAGAACGAGAGAGGGGGTAACCATTACAAAGCCCCTTAGTGGCCATGTCTCATATATTTTACCTACAAGTGGAAGTAGAAGTGCTGGTGGTTGTAGTATGATCAAAGTGACTGTGGTACTAGTTGAAGTTATAGTGCGGTAGTAATAGTGACAGTAACCAGCAAGAGAGCGACAGGGCTTTCCAATAATAGTACTCATGCTACCATAGAGGGCGCTTCTTCCCGTTGACCACAACAGATTTCAGAAAAGGAAAAATTTGTCTCTGTCTCTGTGTGTTTTGGTTTATTTGAAAAAAATAATTAAATAAAATATTAATTAAACTATTAAATAACTATTCTTTAACAATAATCTTAACCTTTAACCTAAAAAAAATTTAACTCACAGAATTTAATTTTAGTTTTAGATATTTTGCAGCAAAATAAGAAATAACAACTCACTAACTGATTTTGATACTGAATTACGAAAAGAATAATAAACTGATCTGATTTCTTGTTGATGTTCCTGCAGGCCAGTTGGGTTCTGTGAAGGAGTGATGCAGGCAATGGCACTGCACTCATGTACAACTTACCACAGTCCTTTTCCATCTATGCACAGAAGGTACTGAAATTGTTTCATATTTGCAAGAACAATGACATCTAATTCACCTATTAATAATAAATATGTACAGGTGTAGTTTTGTTTATGCTGAAGTAGAGATTTCTCCTTTAGGCCAGAAGATGGCAGCATCTCTCATGTATTTTGTTCTTTTTCCCGGTTCATTTTTGTGCTTAGCTTTTAAACTAAAGTCTTGCCATCTTTTGATTGACACATTTACTAAAAGTAATATGTGAAACACAATAGTTTCATTTAATTAAATAAACATGGCATCAGTGATTTTTGTTGTTTTGTTGTATTTCTAATATTCTGCTACAGTATGAAGAGACCTCCTGACATCACTGATGACCTCAGAAGGAGGCAGTATAAAGCTCACATTATGAAGCACTTGGGATCAGAAACCCCTACCAGCTTTTGTATAACTCCATCAACATGCGAGAAATTGTACATCTTCAAATTGGACAATGTGGCAACCAGATTGGCTCAAAGGTAATAACATTTATTAATTTCTTTTTACTATTTATTAGAAACCACATCAGATGAGCCATAACATTGGGTACAATATGGCATTTACAGTTTTTCAACCTATTAATAGCATAGTGTCTCTCTCTAATAGCTATTAGTATCTCTATAGGCAAATGATTCCTTCTTGTTTTGAAGGATTTTGTGAAGACCTTTCCACCTTCAAAATATGCATAATATGTATATAATTTTTATTTCAATTGTTAATTGCTATGGTGACAGAGGATGCTTGCCATAACTTGCAAAACATGAATAAGAGAATCAATTAATTAAAAATATATGAATTCCTGAGAAAGCATTTCAGTAGAAAAAATACCACGTAACAGTGTATTTTATTACCTTAATTAATTTCCCTAAATGTTTATCATCAGTCGTCCCCTTAGGCCCCAGGATGTCCTTGTGTGAACCCATAAGGTCTGTGACGTACAGCAAAAAGTACAGGATGTGCAACAGGAGTCACTGAGAACAATTGTATTTAGTTTATTTTGTTACATTAAATTACAAAGGAAATTAATACTAAATGACTTTAAAATGAATACATTAATGTTGCTATTATTTTATATATTTATATTTTTCTTTAAATATTTAATTCAAGTAAAACAATCTAAAAATATTCAGACTTTTACTTTTTCTGTATCACTATAGATTACTAAAAATGTGTATTAATTCCTTTTATTGTAAATTGATTACTCTGTATTGTGCTTGTGATTGAGCCAGTATTACATTTTCAACAAGAATTTGTAAATGTGTTGTGTTTTAAGCAACTGTGTGCCATCTGTTGTGAGTGACAGAGGGTGTTCCCTGTTAGTCATTGAAGAAAAAGATAAGAGCCAGGCTAAACTGGCATGGGTGTGACATTTTTATCATGTCGTCTTTCAAAAGAGAAAGTGCAATTGAAAAGATAGGCGTTTGTTTTTTTATATCCTGTTAAAAAATATATGTTTTGAAAAAAAGATTGTTCATACATTAAATATAAATATGGAATACTAGATTGGATTACATATTAGATTATTATAAACAGAACAACAATATATCTGTACTTCATTAGTATTTCAAAATTAGTACCTGCCTATAATCTAAATAAGAAAGCTGCACTAGAAGACAAGGAACAGTAAAACTACTACATTTCCTAATCTTTGTGGTGAAAAAAATATTTTTTACTTATTTCTCTCATCAAATTTCTGATCCTTGTTTTACTATTCAAAATTATATTCAAAAGAGTTGTTAATTGTTTGGACAACAGTGCAAATGTTTCATCACTTTGAAACCCATGGATAGTCATGCACATTACTGTAACATAATGTTAATCAATCACTGAAGTCACTTTAGCTGCTATTTATTCTGTCCTTGTGCAGAATAAACTACACTATTTTGTAATAGTATGCTCACCCTACTGAGTGAGCAAGTCTTATTAATTTATAATGAGTGTGAATAGGCAGCACAGTAACTACAGGGGAAGATCAAGAACCTTAGTGAGTCCGCAGTGCCTGGAACCCCAGTGGGTGCATGGGCACACATCTAGATGTTACACAGACTGAAAAAAAAACTGTCCAAGTAATCATCACCGGGTTCCCCCACATGCTGCCTTGAGCTGTTCCTATTAGATTTCTTAAGTATGCTGAGCACCACCACTCACATGTTAATTTATTCTTTAACATTCCAGGGATTTGAAAATTGTGGTCATTAAGTAATTACCTGTCCATCTCCTCAAACCTGCTGTACGTGGCCTTGAAAATGCGAAAAGTTGCCAAGTAAAAAACTATTTCCAGTGGGGTTTAACACTGAGACTGCTCTTATCAAGGTGACAAGAGGAACACTGAGGCGGGCACTTCAGTTTTATTGACACATTTGTCTGTGTTGTGATTTTAACGCACTCTTCTTCTTCTGTAAATGACTTTGAATTATGGTATGTACATGTTGTGCTCTACAATTAAACTTGCCTTGCCTTGGTTTGTTTCAGTTTTGGGAAGTGATCAGCGAAGAACATGGCATCAATGCCACAGGAATCTATGAAGGAGACTCCAGTGTACAGCTGGAGAGGGTCAACGTCTACTTCAATGAGGCTCATGGTAAAAAATAGAAAATCATTGTAACAATCAAGTAGCTAACCAAATTGTGACGGAGGCAGAAGTGACTGAGAAGGTCAGCAGATCAATAGCATAGCATATTGTCATTGTGTCATTAACACAAGTATCCCTTCTTGCCTGTATGAATGGTGGCTGTTGGGGATGCTATTGGGACAGATGAGGAATTATGTGTAGCCTATTACTCATAATTAAAACTAAGATAATATTTTAAAGGTGCACTATGTAACTTTTCTGGTACAGTTCTGATCTGTAACTTGGCCTAATGGCGCTACCTCTTTGTCTCCATGGAGATACATAAATTTAATGCAATACTGTGTAACATTTCAGGCCAAAAAGAGACAAGACAAGCAGGTTGTAAACCAGATGATTAACATAGTCCTCCTTCAATACAAACTAACTCCTGCTTTAGCTGTGTTTTAACCATAGAAATATTACTAACAGCATATTTTATGTTTTAGGTGGAAAATACGTGCCCAGAGCTCTACTCGTTGACCTGGAGCCAGGAACTATGGACAGTGTCAGAGGGAGTCGAATTGGGCCCCTTTTTAGACCTGACAATTTCATTCATGGTGAGATTAAGTTGAACTTTATATTGATCTATGACACATTATATACTGACTTTTTTTTCTGAAAATTATATTTTGATGTAGTTCATATTTGTTGCAGGTCATCATTTCAGATATAGCTCAATTTCAAAATGTATTTATTACGTTTATGGAGATTATCGGACATACAATGTCATTGTCATATAATGGTCATGGCACACATATTATTGTTTATCATAAAATGTATAGGAATATGTACATCTAGTGTGACCAAACATCCGTTTTTCCCCAGACATGTTAGTTTTTTGCGTCCTATCCTGGGTGTCCGGGTTTTTTTTTAAAGTGATGGAAATGTCTGGGTTTTCATTACCATTCATTGGGGCCTTTAAATTGAGTGGCTCTCATAGCTCTCTGTGACTCAGAAGGAGTGAGCAGACACAAACAATCGGTCAGTCTGCAACATGCCAAAGCGCAAATGTGCATTTAACAATGACTTGTACAAGAAATTCTCCATTTTCCGGCCCGGTCGGGACAAGTGGGAGGCCATGTGAATAGATTGCGAGGTGAGGGTAGCTCAATGTCGAGGCTCCAATCCCTCACCTCCGGTAAGATGTCTGGGTTTTCACAAACAGAAATATGGTCACCCTATGCACATCACTGGTGCTAGGCTACTACAGTGAACACAGAAAGTGAGACAAAGCCTGCGCACTTACTCCCAAACAACATTTAATGAATGACGTTTCAATCAGTGGATCAGATCATTATGACCTGCTTTGTCTCACTTTCACTATATAGCTACAATGTAACTGTATACTTATTGGGAAATACATGCATTAATACATGCATTTAAACTCATCCAGCAGTGATGTTCATATGGTATCGTTTACATTGGCACTGTTTTTTTCACAACGAGAACGGAGAACATAACAAATGACTATATGAAGAAAGTGGGAATAATGTAGACACTGGGGATCAAGTTAAATATAGGGTGTTGGTTTGCTGTGATGTGTCTTGAAGTTAGATCCTATTACTTTTTACAAATCATTGTCTGATTCCATTGTAGGAAACTCTGGAGCTGGGAACAACTGGGCAAAGGGCCACTACACAGAGGGGGCTGAGCTTGTAGAGCAGGTGATAGATCGGGTGAGGAATGAGAGTGAAAGCTGCGACTGCCTCCAGGGCTTCCAGCTGGTCCACTCTTTGGGTGGTGGCACTGGTTCAGGCATGGGCACCCTTATTATCAACAAGATCAGAGAGGAATACCCTGACCGCATCATGAACAGCTTCAGCGTTATGCCGTCTCCAAAAGTTTCGGACACAGTTGTGGAGCCCTACAATGCCACATTGTCCGTGCACCAACTCCTGGAGAACACAGATGAGACCTTCTGCATCGACAATGAAGCCCTCTATGACATATGCTTTCGTACGCTGAAGCTCACAACACCAACATATGGAGATCTCAACCATCTTGTCTCCTTGACAATGAGTGGGGTAACTACTTCGCTCAGATTTCCAGGGCAGCTCAATGCTGATTTGAGAAAACTAGCTGTAAACATGGTGCCGTTTCCTCGTCTTCATTTCTTCATGCCGGGCTTTGCCCCTTTAACTCCTCGTGGAAGCCAACAGTATAGAGCACTGACTGTTCCTGAGCTTACACAGCAAATGTTTGATGCACGTAATATGATGACTGCATGTGATCCCAGAAGAGGGCGCTACCTTACAGTGGCAGGTGTATTTCGTGGGCGTATGTCAACTAAAGAAGTAGATGAGCAAATGCTTGCAATCCAACAGAAAAATAGCAACTATTTTGTGGACTGGATCCCTCATAATGTGAAGGTGGCTGTGTGTGACATCCCACCATGTGGTCTCAAAATGGCATCCACATTCATCGGCAATAACACAGCTATTCAAGAGATCTTTAGACGGGTCGGTGAGCAGTTTTCAGTCATGTTTAGGCGCAAGGCGTTTCTGCATTGGTATACTGGAGAAGGTATGGATGAAATGGAGTTTACAGAAGCTGAGAGCAACTTGAACGACCTGGTGTCAGAGTACCAACAGTACCAAGATGCTACAGCAGAAATGGATGGGGATGGTGAGGAAGAGGAGGAGGAGGTGCCCTTTTCAATACCAGCAGCCAATGTGCAGCCCCAAACAGAGGTTCGATTGGAAACAGTGACTGAGATAAGTGGGGAGACAGTGGATGAATAGAAATGATTGTAAAAAGTGATGGGGAAAATGTAAATGTTTGTCTAAAAGAGTATTCTGATGTTTTATGTAATTCAGTTATTTTAAAAGTAAGATTTGATGCTTTGGCCAAAAAGTGGGTGTTTTTTACACTCACAATGGATACAGTTGACAGTTTGACTTTGTTGACATTTTGTCCCTTGTGCTACAAATTGTCTGTGTTTCCCATAGATTTGGTTACAATTATGATTGTACAGATCATTTTTGTTTGCATTATTTAATCTCCTTCAACTTGTGGAGTATAAATGTCACTTACTTCCTATATTTAATCTTTAAGTCATTTTTGACCAGTGTATGTATGTATGTATGTATATATATATATATATATATATATATATATATATATATATATATATATATATATATATATATATATATATATATATATATATATATATATATATATATATATAAACATTTAGTTTTGAAAACAAAAATGAAAACTTGCAAGCATATAATTAATTTGTGTCATTTTTTTAACAATATGGCCACTTTTTTGTGATAACTTTTTAATTAGCTAAATTGTCCATTGACGGACAGCATGCTGACAGCTTGTGCCACAGTGTTTCCTCCCACTGTTACAATCTGGGGCATGGTGATTACACAGAACTAGGCTGGAGTGTCTGTGCCCACAGATAAGCTGGCATGACGTGTAAATGACCTGCTGACAAACTATAGTCTACTTCGAAGGCCCTTTATACATAAATGGATATGGCTTGATTATACTGAATACAAATTAGTTTTGCTCTAGTGAATATTCTTTTTAGAGTTCAATGATGATTTTTGAGATTTATTTAGGCCTGTTTGTTCATATTAAAATGCTGTTAAATACAATTATATGTTTCTTGAAATGCTGTCAACTAAGATATCAAGTATGCATGTTCAAATTATTTTTATTTTACTAATAACAAAAGTAATGCTGATTTATTCTTAATGACAAGAGCACTATACATGTAGGCATATGAGTACATTTTTTACATGTTGTCTTTTGATTCTAGATCCAATATTAGGCTTCAAAAGCAGCTTCACAATTTGGATTGCCAGTTCTTACGACTAAAGTTGGAAAAATATATTTTCTCTTACAAACGTCTCTTCTCTCTCTATTAGCACCTCCAAATCATTCATGGGTGCTAGTCTATAGGCCTCACCACCAGTTCAGTGAGTTTATTCTGGAGGTTTCACATTGAATGACAAAAACCGAGAACTGATTATTATTTAATATAATATATACATGTGTTTTATATTATTATATTATGTTATATTGTTATATTTTGTACTAATGGCTTATGTTCTTATATTTCCATTACTGAAAATTGATTTTACAATAATAATAAACAGAAGAAAACTATAGAGAATCACTTGAGGTTAAGGTAACCTACAACCCAGATCTCTATTACTGACTATAGACTATTATTGTATTTGAAGTAGCCTGTCAGCATTACAGCACATAGTTGCATTCATTTTAATTCAGTCTTTATTAAGAACACATACCTTCATAGTTCATAGTAAGTAAGTAAGTATATAGTATATAAAAATAATAAGAATAACACATTTTATATACGACTCATGGATTATTTAATGAAGAAATTCAGTTTAAAAGTCAATGAGCCTAAATAGTTTTTCCACGAAGCCCTTCCCATGCTTTGTCTCTGGGGATAGTACATAGGACACATGGTTCTTTCGTATTATACTTCCATGATAGGACAGGGTAGGACAGTGCGGTAACAGTACGGAAGTGCGTCACAGACACTCGTACTCGTGACGCCGCTGGTGGGTGGGTGCCGGGTACGGGGTAAGGGTGACGGGGGTGGAGCCTCGCGCGCTAGTCGTCCTCGAGAGTGGATTTTCTTCTTACACATACTGGGATTCAATCAGCCGCCGTGTGCTCACATCTAAAAGGTACCAGAAAAACCATGAAGATTTGGACATCGGAACACATTTTCAAGTAAGTAGACGCTTTCATTGCTGTGCCAATGAAATGCAGCTAGTTTACTAGATTAAGGACAGAGGATTTGTCTCGATGGTTTCTATCCCCCAGTTTTCACATTATGTTCCTGATCTTCCTGATAATAATTACTTTAGTGGATCAAGCAATATAGACAACCAAAATGTTTTGGGCTGAACGATTAGACGATAGTAATTTAATTGTCATAAAATGGCATTTCTTAAAGTAGCATTTGTCTCTAGGTTTGGATCTTGGCTTTACGCTGCATATTTCTCAGACTAATACGAAAATGTTATACTATTAAAGGACATTAAAATACAAAACAAAAGAAAGTCATTTTCCGGCTGCCGGAGTTACAAAGACCTCAGTGTTGCATAAAAGTCGCCGGTCAGGTCCACATGCTCAACCTTTCCCCTACTTTGATGTCGCGCTTACATCAGCTTCACGCTGGGCACGCCCTCCACCTCTCACCCTTCTCCTTGACACCATTTCATTGCTCTTTTTTGCTCATTATGATCAGAGCTCTTTTGTATCTTATAATTGTGTAAAATGTCGGCTATGTTTTAGTAGCCTATTGCATAACACGTTTTATGTAATGAAGAGGGTTTACAAAAGAAAAGTATTTATCTTTGAAAGTAGCATTTATTTTTCTTGCAACCTCCTTGCACATATGCCAGTATGTGTAATTTGTCTGTAGACAGTTGTACATAAAGGGTGTTTTGTCTTTTTTGTTACAGCCATCCATGGGAAACCGTGACCAATGCTGCTATGCAGAAGTACCCAAACCCCATGAATCCCAGTGTCATTGGTGTTGATGTTTTGGACCGATCTATTGACACGCAAGGTCGTCTACACAGTAAAAGACTTCTCAGCACAGAGTGGGGCCTCCCATCTATAGTGAAATCTGTAAGTGTTCTTGTTGGATCACTGACTTCAGAAAACTTGAAACTTGACACAAGTTTTCACCTCTAGACCACTGTCGTTTTATGATTGGAAACCAGTTGATACCCCAAGCATGCCCTTAACCCTTGTGGCTATTTCTGCTCAGTGACACCATGGAACTGCATGATAAATGCTGTTTTATGGCTGTGCGCCACGGTGTCGTTCCTGTCATTACTTAAGTGTCACCTATAACAGCATGTGATGTAACTTTTCATGTCAGTACGTGGAAGACTGAACATTGAGTCTTAATATTGGGCCGTCAGAATATCCTTGAAGTCTATCAACACAGCCATATTATAATCCCATCCCTTTTTTTCTTCTACTTATGTACATTAAGGTCGTTTTCACACCGCTAGTTCGATTATTTGGTCCGCACCAGGCAATAAAATTGTTATTATGTAGCAAATACACTCCAGTGTGGTCCGCTTTCACACCGGCAAACAAACCAAAACTGGTTCGATTCACGTGTCTCTGTTTCCCCGGTAAAACCGCGATACCTCCAGTTATCAACACCGATGTTCCTGTTAATACCACGGGCCATCCTCATCTCAAATTATCACCATGAACTCATAAAACAGCAACATGTAGAACTTTGTACAAACTCACCGCATCAGCCCAGAGTTCAGGTAACAGCAGCAGCCAACAGCTCCTCAGGACGGGGCTGGGGTCTGGTCCTTGGTCTGTTACAAGCGCGTTGGTCAGATGGTCCGGAGGCTTCATCCTCCATGTGCTGGTTCCAAACAGTGGCGAGCAAGACCAGTGCGCAATGACTGGGTCTGAGCGGGTACGTTCCGTCGTCTGCGCGCTGTTTCCGTGCGGGAAAAGCAAGAATGCGCTGTGGACTACAGGTCCGGGCGCGCTGCTCCGGTTCTCCGCGCTCAAGAACCACGGCTGGTTCCGAGGTGGTGCAGCATCCGGACAGAAGCGTGAGTCCAGTTTGGTTTGTTATATGTTGTTCTGAGCGTCCGTCCTCCGCGCATTTGGTTCTTCCCGGGGAAAGCGCTTCCTCAGGTCGAGGCTCCCCGCTCCAGCTCCTCTGAGCCCGGACTGAACCGGAGCTGCCCCCGCTGGTTCGGGACTCTGGTTTGGATCTAGTCCGACTGTATTTCTCACACTAGGCTAAAAGCAGGGACTTTTTCAAGTTGTATCAATTGAATGGGCGATTGCCTATTGCCGTAAAATTATTTGGTTAATTAAAGCCTAAAATAACAAATGTTGGTTGCTGTGTGATCACGGGGAACACCGGGTCGTCTCTGTGCGTGTAGGTCCCGAACAGGGGTACGCACCCCCAATTTTGACTCACTCTGGAGCCACACGTTCGCACACTGATACTTGCTCTGATCTTCGTGTGTTACATTCTCTGTATTGGCCATTGTTGGTAAAATAATTTGAAAATGAATCGCGTCTGCGTCTGGACAACAATCTGTTACTGCGCTGGAATCGTACAGCGCGTCATTTCAGGCAGAGGAGACGCGTGTCCCTCCCATGATGCATTTGGAATAGTCCGTTTGTCCATACTGTCTATGGTTTGGACCCGGGTTCGCGTTCACACCAGAGGAACCGCACCAAAGTTGGTCATTTGGTGCGGATTCAAGCGAACCGAGACCACCTCTTTTTTGCGGTCTCGGTCCGCTTGATTTGGTTCGGGTCCGAGTCCGATTGACGCTTTCACACCAACGCAAACGAACCGAACTAACCACTTCTGGTTCGAATGGACCGTTTGGTGCGCACCAAATACTGTCGGTGTGAAAACACCCTTAGGCATTTTTTGTCATACAAATACTACAAAATTGCCGACAATATCTAGCTGAGCAAGTTATGCATGTTTATACTAATTGTGTATTGTGTATTTCATAGAATTATAGGGTGCAGCTCAGTTCCAAGAAAATTATTTGAAATTTTAAAAATGGATATTCTGGGATGTCATTTGTAGATATCTACAAAACAAGTGGTTTGCTCATAAGGTCAACACGTATATTCAAGTGATTTAATTTAAATTTTAATCAAGAGTATATGACAATATACAATTCAATATTCTCAATTTTGACGAAAAAAATATTTTTTTCATAATTCTAAGTTACAATTTGTTTTGTAAATTTTTTGCAAATATTATACAGCCCAACACATATATTTTTTCTTATGTTGTATTTCTTCAGATCATTGGTAACTCACGAACATGCACTTATGTTCAAGAGCATTCAGTCGTGGATCCTAAAGAGAAGACCCTTGAACTTCAGTCTACTAATGTGAGTTCCCATAACCAGTCCACTGTTTGGTGATATTTTACTTTAGCAGATTGTTCTATTGTAAACATTGTTTAGCCAAAAGTTAATGGCATTCAGTCTAGTTGTTGTACTAGTTGTACAGCTTCATCATGACTCATGTTTCAGTACTGAACACTGCTGTGTTTGGGAATGTTAAAGACACTCTAACTTGAGAACGTCTGACTTTGCATTTGTTGTGTTTGTTTTTCAGATTACTTTAACAAACTTGGTTTCTGTGGATGAGAAGTTAACATACAAACCTCATCCAGAAGATCCAGAAAAGTAAATATATCTACTCATACTAATGTTTGTTAACTTACCATATGTAAACATTATTAATACTATTCACTCTCTTTCTAGAACTATATTGACACAGGAAGCTATCATCTCAGTAAAAGGAGTAAGTCTAAGCAGCTACTTGGAGGGAGTTATGGCTAGCACCATATCTACTAATGCTGGAAAGGCAAGTCTTTTATCCTAAAACCATAAATCCAAAAATCTTACAAATCATAATGTGACCTATGTCATAAGTCAACAATATGAAGTTGAATGTGTGTCATTAGAATAGTCATAGAATGTTGTTGTGTTTTACATTGTCATTTTATATATTATATTTCATTTATATTTTATATTTATGTGTTATGCAGGGCCGTGAAGCAATGGAGTGGGTAATAAGACGTTTGAATTCTGAAATTGAAGAACTGGCAGCCACAGCCCGTGGAACCATACGGTCTCCAATGGCAGCAGCCACAGTCACAGATCAGTGACCCCAAACCACTTCCCAGAATCTGTGTCAAACTGTATCTCCATATATTCTTCTTCCTTTATGACAGTTCGGTGCTTGATGGTGCTACGGATATTTCATTTAAGGTTATCTTTACCTTTAAATATAACCAATTACACTGTGGCTGCCCTTTGGCAGGACCACTCTGAAAACTTGCTCAGGGACATATTTAAATCAAACCCTTGTAGATGTAGTGTTGATAAAGAGGAAAGGAAAGCACAGCGTGCACTAACAGTCAAAATGTGCCAGTTAACAAGCTGAAGGAAACCCATTGGTCTTTGGCTATAAAAGCACCTTTGGCCATATGTGGTTTAATCTGGAAGACGACCTTATAATGCCAGCAGAACTTTTCTATGACAGACATGCTTTCCTGATGTGTGAGTACTGTATGTGATTGTGAGTCAACTAGAAGACGCTGTTTGTAAATAGTGATGAAATGTATTCCAGCATCACTGAATGTATTTATTATTATTTTGTAGACCTTTCTTTACGTTAATTCACATGGGACCTCAAGAAACTCTGCACAGATGCCTGGCTGAAACTTATCTTATGTAAAATGAAGGGATCCGTACCTCTGCAATAGTCTTGTTGAATACGACTTTCTTAGATGTTTCCTCATTGTTTGTCAAGTTTGTGTAATTGTAGCAAACTTATATGAAAATAGGTTCTCTTATTCAACATGCTCTTACAGTGTAAGTCATTTATACAGTTATTTGCACTAAAATATGTAACAAAAACTGCTGCTACACATGGTGAAAGACATGTTGATATCACTATTGTGATTGTTGTTACAGTTACATTTAAGAAAGTCTTTTGTGCAGGACATCGTTGTAGTACTTATGCCATTAGTTTCTTTAAATTTTATTGTGTACTATTTATTTAGACCTATGATTTGTTTTGAATGAGTAATATAGTATTGGTATTTTGAAGATATTTGCATATTTCATGCATATTTTCAGGTTATAACAAAAATTATCTTGCAATAAAACAAACTTGTCGTGCATCATTGTTAACAGATATTTCTTTAAAGGTTAGTGCCCTCATGTGGTCAATTCTGATATTGCACTGTAAAGAACAGCCCAATAATGTAAAACACAACATTATTATCATTATTATCTGAATTAGACATTTTAAAGCATTTACCTACATGGCTAGTGTGCACTTTTATAGTACCAGTTTTAGGTTAAATAAAATTTAAATAATACATGTGTCTATATCTCTCTCTTGGCACTTGTTACTGCCACCTACTGTTCAGAAAGAGTTTTGTTTCTTCGCGTCTTTACGTCAGATCTGCGTAGCCAATGGGAATCAAGCAAAGGATTTCCTTAACCAATCAAAATGCTCTGCTGGATTTAAAGGTTTTGAACGGAGGTTTGTTTAAAATTGAAAAAAGCACCTGAGGAGTGAGGGCTTACTTTAGATCAAGGCGATCGACATCCTTTATTTACTCTGATTTCTACCACATTTAGATGCATTTTATTGGAAACCGTCTCCTGGATTCTTATTCATCGTAGTTTTATTGCTGGCTTACAATAGCATGTGGTTTTAGCACAAGTAATCAGGAGTCGACGTTGCTAAAGGTTAGCTAGTCAGCTAAACTAATACCAATAACGCAACAAGATCGGGACACACTAAAACTAAAAAAACACTTGGAAGCACCACCCTAGGTAAGTCATTCATTATTGGATTTTATTTTGATTGTCTGGTGGGCAATTTACTCGGGTTAACATTAGCGTTATGTCTACTATGGTTACCAGTGATAAAGCAGACGAGCCACACAGATGAACATTTAGGGAAATGGATCATACTTCGTAGCTAATGAGTTCAAAAAATCTTGTTTGTTATGTTTTTCATGTCGCATTGTACCTGACTCTTCAAAAATGACAATTTATTCTATGTTGAAGGCAATGGATTCTTCCGCAAGGGTCAAAATGTCTAAGGAAGGCAAGCCACTAAGGCCCGAAGCAAAGGTAATATTTGAGGGGGTTGTAGTTCTGTTGTGTTTTAGAATAAAGCTTTAGAATAATAAAGTTTTAGTCTAAAATGTCGTTTACTGCGTCCTGAAGGGTGAAATTTATTGAAGTCATTCGATTTGGGAAATTCAGGGTTTTATAATTCGTTTTGGCACCGCATTTTTAACCTCAAACTTAAGGACATTTACTGGAGTCTATTTGAATGCATCAGAATCTTGCTCTGTAGTCTCTTTTGTGTTGTGTTCATGAATCACAATGTTAATATTGTGCTGTCATTTTCATTGCAGACAAAGTTTGATGGACCAATGCGTGTTCCAGTATCACAACATTCGCAAATGCCTCAGCGTGTCATGGGTAGTTCAAATGGACCCCTGAGACTGCAGCGACCAGTCACACATCAAAAACCTGTATCCCACTCCTCTGCTGTAGTAAAGCCAATGTCTGCTAATGGACAAAATATTAACCCGGTTATTCAGATTGTACATCCCATGCCACTGCAAAAGACCAGCTCGCAACCAAACCCACCAAAAGTGCAAGAGACAAAAATGAAGATGGAGCCGCAAAACACTGTATCTGAGCCTCCGAAGACTGAGAAGACTCAGAGTATGAAAAACTATTTGATAAATGCACATGTAGCCTCCCTGTCTTTCAAATATTTAAGAGTATTTTGTATTTTTGTATTTGCAGATAAACCAACAAAGGGATCACAGTAAGTTATTAGTTTTTTCCTCTACTGATTCTGAGTGAATTTTTTTATAAATATACACACACATTTACCATCTTATACAAATGCTCAGTTGTTAATTGCCACAGTTCCACCTTATTCTTTTGCTTGGCTAAACAAAGCTACAGTCTGCTTTGCCAGGCTACTTTTCTCTTACATTTTAATGTTTTCCTTCTGTAGAAAGCCATGGAGGCTAGAGAACTTTGAGATTGGGCGACCTCTTGGAAAGGGAAAGTTTGGCAATGTCTACCTAGCCAGAGAACGACAAAGCATGTTCATCTTGGCTTTGAAAGTACTATTTAAGAAGCAGCTTGAGAAGGCTGGTGTAGAGCATCAGCTGAGGAGAGAAGTGGAGATACAGTCTCATCTGAGGCAAGTGGTCAAAATTTTATTTTTACTTATTTTAGCTTTTTTTCTTGACCACAGTAGTCAGCTGTTTTTTGCAATTTGCAAGTTTCTATATCAAATGTGTTGACACAGTTCATTAATGGTTGTAGTTATGAAGTGGGCTTGCCTGTTTTTCAGACATCCCAATATACTCCGTCTTTTTGGCTACTTCCATGATGCCTCTCGTGTGTACCTTATTCTTGAGTTTGCTCCCAAAGGACAGGTATATAGTGAGCTGCAACGATGTGGAAGGTTTTCTGAAGATCGAAGTGCCACTGTAAGTTCACATTATTTCATGTGCATTTTAAATGTCAAATGTTTATTTTGGAACAATTTAGTCTGCTCATAAGACACTGACTTTGTGTTCTGCAGTACATCATGGAACTGGCAGATGCCCTGCAATATTGCCACTCAAAGAATGTAATTCATCGAGATATCAAACCAGAAAACTTGCTGTTGGGTGCCAATGGAGAACTGAAAATTGCTGACTTTGGCTGGTCTGTTCATGCTCCTTCTGCAAGGTACACTTATTTTGTGAAAACTTTTTTTTTTACTTGTATTTTGTTTGTTTTTTAAATCAGCAGTAATGTATATGTACATAAGATTTCATTTTTGAAAATGCAATTTATAAAAAAAAAAAAAAAAAGCCATTATCTTAATGATGTAACAAAAGTTTTAAAAACATGGAAGAGAAGTATGTTTTCAAACTTTATTTTTTTATTGGCTGTAAGCTAATGTTCAGTTCCTTTTTTGCTTTTAGGAGATCGACTCTATGCGGGACTCTAGATTACCTGCCTCCTGAAATGATTGAAGGGAAACCTCATGACCAAAATGTTGACCTGTGGAGTCTGGGTGTCCTTTGTTATGAATTTCTCATTGGACATCCTCCTTTTGAGGCAAAAACTCATGAGGATACTTATCGTAGGATATCAAGGGTAAGTTGTTTGCACTGTTCTTTCTTTCTGAATTGCCACAATATCTTTCAACTGTAAATTGATTTTACTCTTATATACTTTTTTTTTTTTTTTAAATGACAGACCATTTTAGTAAAAAGCGGTTTTGTAGCTCAACCAAAATCACTGGGTGAAGTATTGCAAGTACATGTTGAGGCTATTTGTGGCCAGTTTTTCCCCTTATCAAAGTTTGAACATTGGGCAATAGCTTAACATTCCTTGTTTATAACTGGGGAACCTAAACACGATTTTACAAAGATGAAAACCAAGTCTGTACCAATGGCAGTTATAAATCAGTGGTACCTTTTAAAATCTGAAATGAAAAGGACACCAAGTTGAGCCTTTACTGTCAACTAAACTTTGATCTAGATGGTTGTCATTTCAAAATATGTGCTTTGTGTGCAGGATTTCAGTTTCTCGTTTATGTAAATCAAGTTTTTTAATTTTTTTATTTATTTATATATTTCCATAGGTGGAATACACATACCCTCCTCAGTACAACATCAGTGCTGAAGCAAAAGACCTGGTTGCCAAACTACTGAAACACAACCCTTTGCACAGATTGCCCATCCAGGAAGTTTTGACTCACCCATGGGTTGTTGAAAATTCTACCAAGAAACTACCACTTTAAATCAAGACTCTTCCAGTCAGTGAACAACTCCTCAGTCTTCAGATGCATGGTGAAAGACTAGGGGGGTGGAGGAAAAAATGACTATTTACTTTGTTAATTCCATATAATGTGCACCTGGTTTGGTTTGTTTCCATTTTCGAACATTTCCATTCTTTTGTCTGTGTAAATATATTCTTGAATTTTAATTATGAATCTTTAAATTTAGATTATTTTAATGTACAGGTGCCTGGCCAGGTGTCACAAGCCTCTAAAATGTCATGTTTTGTGCCCTGATTTGTAGCCATAAACTACAAGTAACACTTGCAGTGTTACAATGGAATATTTTCCATATTATGAAAGACATTTGTATTCACATCCAGTTTATATGGGTTTCTTGCTAGCGGTCATGGCAGCTTCTAATACTTGAATAAAAATTTGAACAGAATGTTTGACTGATCAGTGCAATGTACATTTTACAGTTTCAGTGCGTGTCTAAATTTCTTTTCAAATCTAATGTTCAGGCTCTATAGAAGTGTAGGTACCACCAGATGCTATAACCTACTGTGCATTTGCACTGGCTATTTTTAAAAATCCTCACCACCTACTAATGTGATCCATCAGAATGACCTTTGGTGTGAGCGAAGTCCCCATACCCCACGTGCAGATTGTAGACAATTACTGTACAGCAGCAATTCTAAACTGCAGGTTGGAGACCCTCACTTAGATTAATATTTGAGTTTGTAAACCCTTGATGTAATTCCCGCAATGACCACTAGGTGACACTGTTTATACAAGCTATTTGTAGACTAATTGATTTGACTGTTCATTCTGTTTTATATATTTAATAAAATCGGTATGGCTGCCTGCCTGGACTATTTTGATGCATTAATACTAGAATAGTATATGCCGTCTCATTTCTTCATTATCAAGTGAGTCGACGCAACAGTCACCACGCAGTGCTGCAGCTGTGGCCTTTTGCTTTGTCAGGCTTTGGATTAAGGTGTTGGGATGAACCAAATAATGAATTGTAAATGGATTTTTGTTACAATGACCTGTTAAGAGACAAGCAGGTGACAAGACCAAATAAGAGTTTTCCATTTATTCATTTTATCCAGTTTTTGCTTTTTTTTTTTTTTTTTTGCAAAATAATTTCTTTGAAAAACATACATTCTTAGTGTGGGCTTAATGCCACACTGTGGCATATTCCCATCAAAACAATAACAATTCCATGGAGACAAGGATTTTATTCAGTTGACAAACTGAATTACTCCTTTGCCATGGATTCTACCTGGACAATTAAGGGCTTTTACAAACATGGAGACAAGGAGGTAACTGACCTTCACCTTCCCCTTCATCTTCCAGTTTACTGTATGAGACTAAGCAGTTGTGTTTATGGTTGAGGAGATGAGCAGAGAAGAGGAAAAGTGAAAATCAAATCAAGGAAGGGTACACAAGTCACGAGCATTTGCACAGGTGGAGGAGGCTCTGCAGTCCAACAGAGATATTTGGTTTATTCAAATCCTTGAATCAAACACTACTACACACAGGTCACATACAGGGCCTGACCTTGACTCACTGCTCACTGTGATAAGGCTTTTTAAAAGCTTACATTTCATGATAGAAGCTGGATCAAAGTGAGTGTTGTCATTTATTTTATGGCAAATTATAAACTAGAGGAAAGAAACATTGTATGAGATTCACCAAAGTAATAATATATGATTATCCACTATAAAATAAATAAGGTGTACTGGTGCAAGCCAAAATACAGTTTTTTCATAATTGGTAAATCTTTCTATGCCTACAAGATGGGCACTGTGGCGTTTTAATCTAATCCGGTATGAGGCAGGTCTGTTCTGCATTAGTCCAGCGTTTATGTGAGTGACAGTCCTTTCTCCCATGAATCCTGAGTGGAGTCTCAGCCCTGCAGGCGCACCAGTCCATCTGCGTACTGGAACTGTTCACTGTTCTCATAGTGCAGCATGTCCAGAGCCACCACACAGCTCTCCTGCACCACACGCTCTCCATCTGCCTGGTGCCTCTGCAGCACACCCACACACTCCTGTCTGCCAATAGAGCCCAGAGCCTCTGCCGCCTCATGCCGCACCATGGGGTTCTCCTCAGGGCGCTCCAGAGCTGCGCTCAAAGCTGGCACCGCAGCTGGGTGCTGCATCTGACCCAACACGTACCCGATCTCATGACGGAACAGAGCGCTGGAGCACTGCAGACCTGCCACAGGAACACAGGGTCAACTTAGTGCGCACTGTTAACTGCATTCACCAAATGTGATGCCTTGATATCAGAGAGGGACATAAGACATGACAGACAAGTATTCAAGGATCTCAACCGTCCCACACAGCCCATAGGTTAACCAGCAGCTCTGTAGTAACAAATGACTTCAGTCTTTCAACAGTATCAAACTTGTGCTGTATAACAAAAATGTTTAAAAATGATAGTCAGTGGTTGCCACATATCTGATAAGTCTTCTACTATCAGACTTTTCTGATGCAGGGCAGTGCATTCAATTGACAGTAAGACTATAAGACTATAGGTAAGATTATAAATTCATAATGTAAAAGAAGAAAAAATCTAGCACTGCTTCAGGATATAAAACTCTACTGTTCTGTTTAGACCTGCTTAATATTACTGGCCATTGCTGTTTTTAAAGCCCCTGAGCGCTATCTGTCCCTGTGCTTCAGCCCGGGCCCTACCATCAGCCAGAGCCAGTGCCGCCTCCTCTGTACACAGGTTCCTCAGAGCAAACATGGCCCGGTAGCGCTCGAACAGGGGCAGGCTCTCATTAAGCAGGATGCTCCGCAGCTCAGAGGGACTCTTCTGGGGTGCAGGGGGGGCAGGGTCCACAGAGCTGTAGGGGCTATCATCCTGGGCCTGTCCTCCAGACTGCAGCCACTGCAGACGAGCCACGGCCAGCTGGCACGTCTCTGCCACCTGCAGAGGGCAAAACATTGGTCATATGAGGACTGGCACAATCAGGATTTTTCAACATTCTAGGGCTGTGCAGTTAATCACATTTGAATTAGAATTATAATAAGATTGGTGAGTTTTTTCATTTGTACCCCTGTGTGCGCTGCTGAATCCAACGTGCATCACAGATTAAGAATGGCAGTGTAAGTACAGAGCAATGGACGTAGTATGTCGGTTGTGGTGAAAACAGATGTTGATATGTGGTCTTTAAAATATGCGATAAAGATTGCTCACGCATGCACAAATCTTTCTCTCAAATTGCTTTTGGCATGTCATAAAAACTCAGGAAACATGAGCTCCCAGTGAGTGATGTGATGTCTTGGGTGTGCTCCGTGACAGACTGTACCTCTATGACAGGGTCCTGGCAGTACTCTGTGAGCAGCTCCAGGACTGAAGTGTCTCCGATGGCTCCCAGGGCCTCTCCTGAACACAGCAGCTCATTACTAGGTTTTAGAAGCTTTACAAAGGTGACACAAGTTTCACACATGGGGGAGCAATATCAGCCAGTGCAATCCCTAAACAGAAAGCAACACTTAAGGACTGAGTCTGTATGCCCACACTCCTCCACCACCTCAATCAGTTTCATTCAAGAGTGTTAAACAGTGGAGTAAGCCATCAGTAAGCCATCAACCTATCAAACTTCCAGAGCTTGAACAATTTACCAACCTTCTCTAGAGAAGTAATAACACCCACACTGTATGCACTTATGTCTTATTACTGTTAGTATTACTGAGATTGCACTAATTCTTCAGTGAATCCACCATAGTAAATTAATCTGGAGTCTCCTGTAATAGTTGTAAAATGGTGTGGAAAGAGTTAGATGGATTATCTACACTGTAGATATTTTGAATTATGACCCTATGCCCCAGTCACTACAGGAAATGGACTCAAACTATAATCTAACATCTCTGCGTTTATGCAAAATGAAACTGAAAAAAGCTTATAATGCTGAAACTGGACATAAGTATTAGTATTAATATGACGGGAAAACAATTATTAAACCAAAACATTATTAAAGCACCACAGGAGTCAGTAAAACATAGTATGGACGATCTCAAAGGCCATCACATACAGGGCATACGTGGGCAGGGGTGAGTGGTACCTGCTTCGTGCCGGACCATGGGCTCCTGTTGCGTGTCCTTCAGCACAGCGGTGAGGGTGGGGATGGCCCGGGCGTCCTGCATTTGACCCAAGCAGTAGGCCAGCTCGTGCTTGAGCAGAGCAGACTCATCACTGAAGCCTCGGCTGATCCAGCTGATAGCCTCTGGGCCTAATACACAGCACAGGATCAGCACTTAGATTAAACTAAAGTGGTACAAAGTTCAATGTCTTCTCTGTCGGCATAAACAAAAGTCATAGATTTTTGACATTTACTGAGCAAATCCTTTAGACAGCAACTGAACACATGAACACAACTTCAGTCTCTGAGGTTCTAGCTCATTTTGTGAGACACTGTACTATTGTTAAATATGATGTGTTTTCAGAGACATATTGAGCTTATTTAAACTCACAAATGATAAGCAACTGTCATATCTGTGTAACTTAACTATGACAACAACAACAAGCAGCTGAGGGAGTATTTCTAGCTCTAATATCAAGAACCTCTCTACACACTGTCACCAGACCATATGTTTATATAACAACTTGACAGCTTTTTAATATTTGGCGCACATGTTAAAGACAAAAGCAGAAGCTTGTGCTTCACACACGTGGTACCTCCGATGTTCCTGAGGGTGAAGAGGGCTCGAAAACGCCGGGCCAGCTCCTGTTTGGAATCCAGCAGAACCTGTCCCACTGCAGACACCTGCTCCACACTGGCCATGGCCAAGCTCAGCTCACTGCAGCCAGAGGACGAGGATGAGGATGAGGACGAGGACAAGGACAAGGACGAGGACAAGGACGAGGACAAGGACGAGGACAAGGACGAGGACAAGGATGAGGACAAGGATGAGGACAAGGATGAGGACAAGGATGAGGACAAGGATGAGGACAAGGACGAGGACAAGGACGAGGAGGACGAAGAGGAGGATAAGGATGAGGAGAAGGACGAGGAGAAGGATGAGGAGGATGAACGAGGATGAGGAGGACAAAGAATGAGGACAAGGAGGATGAGTAGGAGCAGGAGGATGAGGATAAAGACAACAGCGTTTTATTATTTTATTTCACTGAATCCATTTCAGCCATACATTTGGAAAATTGTACATTCAAAAGCTATTAAGTCATTTTGAGATCACTATTTAAAAGCAGCACCAACAGCACAATATTTGGAACGTTTTAACAGCAACCTTGCTTATATCCAATCCCCTGGCTCGTTTAAATCCAAAAGAATGATGGATTAGAGGTTAGATGTGCTCGCCATTTGGCCCATTCTTCCTGAATTATTGTCCAGTCGACTCGCTCAGTAATAATATCTGAAATACATCTTGCTCATAGGCGCAAATACATCATTCACAACTGCAAGCTCACGTGGTTCTGGCCAAAGAACCAAACCCAGCCCAAAACACGGAGCTCTCCTCCCGTTAAAGCTCCTGTTGGAACCAGGACGCGCTGAGAATCAAACACCGAGTATCACGATGTTCTGACATCAATCAACACACGACCCATGTTAACCCAAAGAACTGTAACCCCACAGAAGCGCAGGGCCAGTGGCAGGAGAGCTCCTCGGAGACACGTTGCAGTAACATGTGGCTCAACTTTTCAACACTGGCAGAATAGAACACCATTTCTTACCGTGAGAGGACACTTGTCAGTCAAACAGCCAGATCGTCCCCAAACTGGTATGGATTCATCAAATGAGACCTCCAGACTAGTCCCACACAACAACACTACGCTCAACCCACTCCGAACACACCGAGCGCAACGAACACACCGAGCCACGCAGCTCGACACCGGTGAGGGAAGCACGGAGTACACTTCCGCATCCGGCACGGCGCGGGGCGCATCCGGGCGCATCCCATTTCTGGAGAGGGGACTGGCTGCAGACACATGGGGAAAGTGGAGCTCCACTCCAGACCGGAAACACGTGACCTCCACCGGATACACGTCATATCTACGATAGACTTTTATTTTTTATTTTTTTATTCGTATTAGCCATATTAGCCGTATCCCAATTCCAGGGCGGCAGCTTTCGAAGGCTGTGAAGACTGCAGCCCTCACCGTAGCTGAAATGTGACAGGTGTTAGCAGGGTCATTTCACGCAGCGTTGTCGTGAGCATTAAAACACAGTACACTTCGTATTCTCTTTTTGTGTGGTTACCCCATTCTCCACGGGCACACACTTTTATTCACAGGTGCAGGCCATTCATAATTTTGTGCCTCACGTGATCAAGTGTTCTTACACACCATTGGTTAAATCATAAGTCTCTATCATAATACAAATAATACAATGAGGGCACAACACAACACCCCCACTTGCTCACATTTGAAAAATACATTACTATACAAACACAATCAGGCCTATACACCTATAACATGTTTATCGTGCACCAAACATAAATGTTTCAAAATTTAACAACTTAAGTTTGGTTGCTGGTTTCGTCATTACATCCGCAACCATCTGATTAGTGGGACAGTACTCCAGGCTGATCCTGCCATCAGTTAACATGGACCTTACAAAATGGTATTTTATATCCACATGTTTACTCCTCTCTTCTGACTATATCCTTTGGCAACATAACACGCCTTGTATTTGTCAGATCCATCATTGTTCTTTTTTGAGTGCATAGACCCATTTACCCCCCACTACAGCTTTGCCCTTCGGTAATGTGGTCAGGGTAAACGTTACATTGTCTTTTAATGACTGCATCTCTTCATCCATAGCATTAACCCACTCTTTTGCATCTGGTGAGGTTACCGCTTCTTTGTATGTTTGAGGTAAGTTACATAATAGTCTATAACAATAGTCAATATTGGTCTCATCATCCTCAAAACCACAAACATAATCATCTAAATAACCAGGTCTCTTCCTTTCTCTAGCTGGGTATCTCCTCTGGTCAGATAGATGTTCCCCATTTTCCTTTTTTGGTGCCTGTTCCTGTTCTTTATTCACCATTTGTGTCTGGTTATCACTTTGCTCTTTGACATCTACTTGTTTTTCAGTTACATGTGGACTAACAGGTGGGGTTTTAATTGTCTGTCTGTTGACCACAAAATCATCTTCATCAGCATCCAGCACATCTGTGTCCGTTTTGGATATAAACTCCACAAGTCTGTGTCTCTCTACTTTTCTGTTGCTGGGATAGTACACCAAATAGGCTGGACTATTCTTGTCATATCCGATAAAAATCCCTCTCTCACATCTTGTGTCCAACTTTCCTTTTTGTTGATGTTTAAATGTGTAACACAATTGTCCAAACTTCTGCATCCTGGAAATATTAGGCTGCCTGCCAGTTAGCATGTAAAAAGGAGTCTGTTTAGTGCGGTTGCTGAAGCACCTAATCCTCACTACAGCTGCAGTCTGGACAGCATAAGTCCATAACATCTTAGGTCGCCCACTCTGAATGAGCATACACCTGGCCATGTCAAACAGAGTTCTCCAGTTGTGTTCAGCAGTACCATTTTGATGGGGAGAGTATGGGGCTGAGGTCTCATGCCTAATACCACTCCGGTTCATTAATGCTTGGTACCCTTTCCCAGTGTACTCTGTACCATTATCTGATCTCATACATTTCACCTGCCCATAAGGGGCCATATCAGCTAGAAACTTCTCAGTAGCTTGTACTGTGTCACTCTTATTTTTCAGAAAGTATACAAACACTGCACTAGAATAATCGTCTGTAAAGGATAGTGTAGTACCTATGACCTTCTCTGGACATAGGGTCTACAGGACCAGCTACATCTGTGTGCACCATTTCCAGAGGTGCTTTAGCCCTGGTATCCGGCCCTCTGTTTCTAGTTTGAATAAACTTCCCCTGTGTGCAGATTTCACAGTGTGGTGGAGTTTTATTTCCCTCATTCTTAATCTCCATACCACTTACAACATGCTTTAATTTCATGATATCTGCAAAATTGCAGTGTCCTAGAATTTCATGCCAAGTCTGCAAATCATGACATTTGTTACACTGGTCTTCACTGTCACTTTCTGATGTGTGCAGATAGTACAGTTTGTTGTGTACATGTATGGGAAATTTAGTGCCGTCTTTATGTAGCAGAACGTTCTTCTTCTCACTGAAGATCACCGTGGCTCCACACGTGGTGGCAGCTTCACAGAGAAGATATCCTGAGGAAGTTGGGATGTACAAGGCCCTCCTCAGCGTTGTTTTGAGACGGTGCCCCCTGCTGTCGACCAACCACACCTCTGCGTCCCCTCTGTGCTTGGCGACTCCGTTGCTCCTGGTGCCATCCGCTAGCTCCACACAATGCGTCCCGGCCTGGAAACTGGCATCGAACCTCTTGAACTTGGCGATGTCTGTGATGATATGTGACGTTGCACCCGCATCCACCATCAGACCTTTGCTTTTGACATCTGGCATCTGCATCTCCGAGTCACTTATCCGGAAAGCATATTCCTTGCTCTCCGCGTCGGACGCTTGCTGTGCGTTATCCCGCTGCTTCCTCCGTCTACACGTCGTATTGTTGTGTGTGTTACTTTTACAATGACTGCACCACTGCTTGCGCGGACTGCTTTTGGCTATGTGGCCTCTGACACCACAATGTCCGTATTGCCACTGTCCTTTGCGCTCTCTGGTGCGCGCCTTGTGCCAAATTGCGCTCTCGCCTTCATCACGTTGTCCTCAGACACAGTTGCACGCATATTTTCAATGTCCTCATAACTCCGGAGCTTTGTCTTAAACTCCGCAAAAGTCATTTTATCTTCACTCTGAGAAACATGAATGGCAAATGGTTTAAATGTCTCTGGCAGCCCCTTTAAAACCATTGCTATCAAAAGTCCGTCACTGAGCGCCTCACCTGCGCTTCGCAACGCAGTAATCGCAGTCTCTGCTCTGATTACATACTCAGTGACATTTTCCATCGGTGACTTTTGTAGAGACGTTAATTCAGTGTACAAGTTCATCACTCTGGGCTTCCCTTTGCCAGCGTAATATTCCCGGAGAATCCTCAGCGCCTCGCGTCCATCATCCACCGCCTCGCGCATTACCAGCGACAGGCTCTTGTCATCCAGGAACTGGATAAACTCCGCATAGGCCTCAGCATTCTTCTCGTCATCATCTTCGTCGTCAGGACCAGGTGATTGTAAAATAGTGTCCTTCAATCCTTGGAGACGGAGGTGGCCCAAAAACTTTGTCTCCCACAGCTCGTATCCTTTTTCATCGCCATTAAATACGAGTCTGCCCCAGCGGCTTGGCACAGTGTCCTTTTCTCTGTTTTTACTCATGTTTGCGGTCAGTGGCTGAACTCAGGTGCACGCATTTACCGTCGCGACATTCACCTGGAGACCGCTCCTCAAACTGCGTAAAATGACTCTGGGCCCATAACCTGTTAGCAGGGTCCTTTTACGCAGCGTTGTCGTGAGCATTAAAACACAGTACACTTCGTATTCTCTTTTTGTGTGGTTACCCCATTCTCCACGGGCACACACTTTTATTCACAGGTGCAGGCCATTCATAATTTTGTGCCTCACGTGATCAAGTGTTCTTACACACCATTGGTTAAATCATAAGTCTCTATCATAATACAAATAATAAAATGAGGGCACAACACAACAGGTGTAGCCCACGGAGCCGCCCCGTCGCCTAGCAACCGAGACACTTTGCTAATGCTAATGCTAACAACACGTACCACGCAGATGACGCACGGGTAATCAAACTTGGAATTTTAGACCAAGTTATTCTAAAAATTCTCATCCAAATCTTATGGCTAAAAACGATAACTTATGTTTAACTTTTGCAAAACAAAACGGCGATATTTCTGGGATACATCTAAAATAGACTATATTGCCTTAAAGTTTCAAAAACTGATGAGATTATTAATTATTAATAAAGTATTTTTAAATTGATAAAGGATTACATTTATACCGGGGATGTATTTAAGTCATTTTATAAAGAAAGACATCTCTGCTTTGAGAAAAGATGGTTTATTAAACAATCAAAGGATTGTAAATACTGTAAATACTTTATCATAATGTGAATAGTCAAACATTAAACCCATTACACACACACACACACAAACACAAACACAAACACATACTGCATTAATAGGTGAGTAAAATAGCTGTATGTCAGTGTACTCTCAAAGAGTTCTTCCCATTTTGCTGAAGCAGAAAAAAAAAAATCCAAAATATGATGAGGTGGAATACCACTGCTTAACTGCAGTACAATAGTACATTCTTATAGTACATGTAATTAGTTACTTTCAAAAGAGACAGAAAGTAAATGGCACATTTCATCATGAATCAAACATCAGTACAGAATGAAAAACATTCAGAAAAACTTATTATGAGCAACTTATATGACTCTAGTTTTGTCTCATACACTTGTTAAGGTCATATAAGGACACATTTATCATGGGACACACTTCCTCAGTGATAAAGCTGTTTAGGTGCTCCTCAGCTAAGACGAACAGAAACCACCATTTTACTGTTTCACTTCTGGAGAAAATTAGACGTTAAACCTAATATGGACACATCACTATTAGGACACATTAGGAACAGCAGCAAACAGAATGTGCAGGAGGGAGGCCTGATGCAACCAGAGGCCCCACAGGTCTGCTGCAGTCTGGACCTCCTCCTCCTCCTCTGTGAGTCTGGACATGGACAGTGGAGACATGACCCAGTGTACTTGGATCATTCAGTCTGATGTATCTCTCGTGTTCTGGAGGAGGAAGAGCAGAATGGGCCTTAAGTCTGACTGGTTGAAATTTCTGTCTGCAGAGTGAAAACCTGTAATGACACACACATTAAGAAAACTATTACATAAATCCAAACAGCTAAATCTCACACATTTGAGAAATGTGCATTTTCAGAAAATTAAATAATAATTTCAACATGAGCATGATTCATTTGCAGCCCTTATTATTATTGGAGTTTTCAATGTAACATGTCCCAGACCTAAACAGAGGCAGAAGTCTGGGTCAGCACCTCCTGCTCAGTGTTGACTTTTCTTTGTCATCTGCATTTGACCCATTTCATGAATCATGAGCGTCTCATCAGCCAACATTTCTGTGGCCCCAGCAATGTGTTGTGTTCTCATACAGGAAGCTGCAGATGAGAAAAGAACATGAATATTGTCGTGAACCCCCCCCTCGGTCACGGGAGAGCTCACTCGGGTGGGGTGAAAAGATGAAGGTTTTGGCGTAAGCCCTACCAAAAGGGCTCCTGAAATTCAGATGAAGATGTTCATGATGCTTTATTTTGATAAATGAATAACTGTTAGAGCAATAGAGATTAAGAGTGTTTGATTTAGATATTAGAAGTGTTTTTGTGACCCATATTAACATAAGTTACTTGTTCTGTTTTGATTTAATCTGATTTGTTTCTTTTATGTTAATTTGCTTAATTCTTTCAATTCAAATTTTAAGTTTAGGTTATTTTGTATTAATTTCTGTAACTGTTATGTTTGTGTGCAGGAAAGATAAGGACCTTCTGTTCTTTTGACAGTTGACCTTTACTTGACATTGATGTACGAAACCTGTATGTTATGCGGCGCATGGGAGGCCTGCAGACAATGCGGGTGCGAGCTTCCGGCTCCTTCGACAAGCGAGGTGGCAGTGACTTCACACCTGGCTGGGGAGGAGGTGTAGGGGGCTAGAACATTGAAGATTGTGGTTTCTAAGAAAGTGTTGCCTGTATTTGGAAAGATGTGTGCTATATGTGACGTACTGATCACTTTGCATGTACCTGGGTGGAGTTCTGTGACCCTAGATAAATATTGAAAATTCTGCGTAATAACCCAGATCCTGATTTTGGTTGGCATTGGCCCTCCGGCTGTAACTCGGCTTACGAGGTCAAGATCTCTAATTCGGACTAGGCTGTGCTTTACAGCTTTCCTGGTCACAGGGTAATTTCTCCAAAAGGGTACTTGCAAAGTGATTTGTCCTAATTATTTTTGTATGAGCTTTCTGGTAAAATAGTGGCTACGGAGTGAGTTGGTTATAAGTGCTCTGTCGTGAGCACTCCGGGCCTAAAAACCCTGAGTGACCACGAGTATAAAGAGTGACCACCAGTCACTTGCGTGGTGCGTTAAACAATAAAAAGCAGAAAAATAAGACAAAGACAAATCACTTGTTGGAATCTTTTGTTGAGTCTTTTCCCTTAATTATTATACATATATATTTACCACGAGCAAGTCAAGTCATCCTAGGTGAGTTACTTACAAAAATGCAATGTTTTTGATGCAAAGCTAAATTTGGTTAAAGGTTTTGAGGCACTGCTAAGGATAAATTTATATTTGCAATGTTTTTGGTGTAAAACTAAATCTGGTTAAATTCTTTGAGGCATTGTCAAAAATGTGTTTTGGGCAAATGTTGTCAGATAGAGTGTAGAGCATTTCATAGAGTGGTTTCTAAAGCTAAGTGAAGTTGTAAGTGTTCCCCAGGTGATACTTTAAGAGCCCTCCCATCACGTTACACCCAAACCAGCACACCCTACCATCACCCCTACATCCAAACCACCACACCCTACCATCACCTTACACCCAAACCACCACACCCTACCACCACTACACCCAAACCACCACACCCTACCACCACCACTACACCCAAACCACCACACCCTACCACCACCACTACACCCAAACCACCACACCCTACCATCACCTTACACCCAAACCACCACACCCTACCACCACCACTACACCCAAACCACCACACCCTACCACCACCACTACACCCAAACCACCACACCCTACCATCACCTTACACCCAAACCACCACACCCTACCATCACCTACACCCAAACCACCACACCACCTACCATCACTACACCCAAACCACCACACCCTACCATCACCTCTACACCCAAACCACCACACCCTACCATCACCTCTACACCCAAACCACCACACCCTACCATCACCCCTACACCCAAACCACCACACCCTACCATCACTACACCCAAACCACCACACCCTACCATCACCTCTACATCCAAACCACCACAGCCTACCATCACCTTACACCCAAACCACCACACCCTACCATCACCTTACACCCAAACCACCACACCCTACCATCACCTTACACCCAAACCACCACACCCTACCATCACCTTACACCCAAACCACCACACCCTACCATCACCTTACACCCAAACCACCACACCCTACCATCACCTCTACATCCAAACCACCACACCCTATCCTCATCCCTACACCCAAACCACCACACCCACACCCACACTCTACCCATCACCCCTTTACCTAAAACACCTCATCCAGATTAGTGTCATTAATGTTACACAAGCATTTTAAATAAGTTGGCTTGTTCCAGCTCAAATGAATGCCCCCCACCCCCAAGCCTCACCCCATCACTCCAGCTTTGGGCTGTGTGCTGCAGGTGTCAGAAAAGCTGACTCTGGCCCAGAAGACATCAGTGGACATAGACGAGTTGAGGGATGGATACAGGCCTGCAGCTAAGCGAGGGGCCATTCTCTTCTTTGTGCTGACCGAGATGGCTCTGGTCAACAGTATGTACCAGTACTCTCTGGCCTCATACCTGGAGGTCTTTGACTACTCCCTCCGCAAGTCCCTGCCTGGTGCTACGCTATCCGAGAGGCTCAAGAACATCATGAACGCCCTGACTTACAATGTCTACAACTACGGATGCACAGGTACTCACTGTGGAGCGGGCAGACAGGCCCTCCTCTGGGTCAGTGCAGTGAGGACATTACTTGAAATGCTCCACACCAGCTTTTTTTATGAGAACTACTGACCAGACTTACTGACTGAAAATATTGGGTAAAATTATAACAAACAGTACAAGAGAGCAGAGGACAGAAGAGGACAGTAGAGGACAGTAGAGGACAGTAATAGACTGTAGAGAACAGTAGTAGACAGTAGTAGACAATGGAGAACAGTAGTAAACAGTAGAGGACAGTAGTACACAGTAGAGGACAGTAGTACACAGTAGAGGACAGTAGTACACAGTAGTAGAAAGTAGTGGACAATAGAGGCTGGTAGTGGTTCACCTTGTGTGATTATGACAAGGCAGATCTATGTGTGCAGGTCTCTTTGAGAAGGACAAGCTGCTGTTCTCCTTTAACATGACCATAAAGATGGAGCAGGCTGAGGAGCGTGCACCTCAGGAGGAGCTGCACTTCTTCATTAAAGGTCTGACATTCTCCTGCTAGTTTGGTGTGGATGTGTGAGCTGTGAGCTCATGTTCCTCTACTCCTCTGCCCCTGAAGGGAACCTGTCTCTAGAGAAAAGCCGCAGGAAGAAGCCGTGGGATTGGCTGACGGACCAGATCTGGGAGGTCAAACTGTCTGAGCTGTTACCAGAACAGTTCTGCAGTCTCCCTGATGATGTGGAGACACACTCTGAGGACTGGAGGACCGTAAGAGCACTCACACCCCTGCACACCTCTACCTATCTCTGCACACCTCTGCAGCACTCTGCACCCTTCTACACACCGCACACCTCTGCACACCTTTACATATCTCTGCACACCTCTGCAGCACTCTGCACCCTTCTACACACCGCACACCTCTGCACACCTTTACACATCTCTGCACACCTCTGCATACTTCTACACACCGCACACCTCTACACACCGCACATCTCTACACACTGCACATCTCTGCACACCTCTACACATCTCTACACACTGCACATCTCTGCACACCACTGCACATCTCTACACACTGCACATCTCTGCACACCTCTGCACATCTCTACACACTGCACATCTCTGCACACCTCTGCACATCTCTACACACTGCACATCTCTACACACTGCACATTTCTGCACACCTCTGCACATCTCTACACACTGCACATCTCTACACACTGCACATTTCTGCAACCTCTACAGACCTCTACACACTACTAGCTACTGTTGTGGCTACCTGGCTCACACACTAAGTATTTTTAAAATCTTTTTAATTTTATGAATTATTAATTAATCAATGCACCTTTCAAGACACCCAAAGCAATTTACAGTTCATTGTTCATTCACTCCACCCTTGGTGGTGGTAAGCTACTATTGTAGCCACAGCTGCTATGGGGCAGACTGACAGAAGCGAGGCTGCCCATCTGCGCCATCGGCCCCTCCGACCACCACCACCAACGCTCACGCACACACCACTTTCTTACTAGGCGATGTAAGTGAAGTGTCTTGCCTAAGGACACAACAACAGTTTTTTAAGCTCAGTTTTTAAAATAAAAAATCATGAGATTTTATCCAACTGAGAAGTACAGCACGTGCAGCTCATAGGACACAAGTAAGGGACTGTTAGATTTTGTGAAATGAACTGTTTGTTTTTCTCGTATCCTTGGAGACCAAGCAAGAGGCAAGCTAAGGACTAGCTAAAAAGCAGGTTTTCTCATATATATATATATATACAACATAACACACCTCTCACAACCAGCGCCAATAACACAACGTAACACACCGCTCACTGCAAGCCCCAACAACGTCAGCAGAACTACAATATGAGGCTACGGTCACAACATGAACACACGACATCAGCGCTGCTCCTACAGTACACGGCAGAACAACCAGAGCAGCTCCAACGCACCCATGAGATTGTTTACACACTATTTAACTATTAACACTATAAAACTATTTAACTATTAACACTATAACACTATTTAACTATTAACACTATTTAACTATTAACACTCTTTAACTATTAACACTATTTAACTATTAACACTATAACTATTTAAATGCCCTGGGTCCCGGCGGCAGGTCTGTGTCAGTATGTCTGATGAGCGGTGTTTCTCCCTCATGTGTCTCCTGTGTAAAGGTTTAGGCGACAGAAGCTAGCCACCACGTGCCAGTGTGTGAATCAAAATAAAAGCCGTAGGATATCACCATCACCAATGCACCCATTTCAGCTTGATGCTTCTTTTCTTGCTTGGCGGAAGGGTCCTGCTGAAGAGAAGACATAATTACTCCCTAATTGTTCCTTGGACATATTTTGACTTGAACTTGAATTCACCATAACTGTACAGCACACAGTTCTGTTATTATTCATTCATTAGCCTATAGTAGTAATGTTTATGAAGACCTATCACTTGATTTAATTTTACCCACAACTTGTGCCCCAAGACATACTCCAGGGCTGTAATGTAAAGTAATTGGCAGAAAAAACTTACTGATATCAGATTTTCTCAAAACCTCAGTGACCTTCAGTGAGTTCGCTCCAACTCAGCAAACAAAGGCCAAACACATGAACCAAATAAAGTGATATGAGCACATTTAACATGATAAAAATATGTCTATGCAGATACACATTCAATTTGAAACAAAATATTAAACATATAGCCTAATACAAAATAACAACTTTATACATTTTTTATCAAGGTCAAGTAGGGCGTGCGGTGCACTTGCGCCCTCTATTGAACAGCCACCACTGCTCTGTACACCTCTGCACCCTTTTGCAGATTACACACCTCTGCACATTTTGCACATTCTGCACATTCTGCACATTGTGCACACCATTATTGTCACAATACCAAAATTTCAAGTTTGATTTTGATACTAAGGAATGCAGTTGATACAGCCTTTATTCACAGTACTTTCTACACACCTCTACACACCTGTGCCACTGCAGACCTCTTCACGCCTGTGCACCCTGCACACCTGTGTATGTTTCAGTGGTACGACCTGGATGCTCCAGAACAGGCGACGTTCCCTGGGAGGTACCAGGAGAGCCTGAGCATGTTCCAGAGGCTACTCCTGCTGCGCTGCTTCAGGGTGGACAGAGTCTACAGAGCAGTGACCAACTATGTCACTGTCACTGTGGGCGAGAGGTAAGACCAGCAGGTCACTACAGTGCAAATGACAGGTTACGAATGCAGATGAATCATTTCAGCAACACTAGGTTAATACAATTAGATTCAAGAATTTACTGACGATTATAGCTATATAGAGATACCACAATTAGAATAAAAACACCTCTAGACAATTGAATGTTATTTTCAACATTAAATTATAGTACTTTCTCTTATATTACCATCTGACCTTATGTCTGTGTAATCCCAGTGGTCCAGGTAAATTCCATAGTGGTCCATGGGCATATACTAGTCTATATTATTTTTGTTCTGATACAGCCCAGGATCATTCTAAAGCTGTTCAGGAAAGGTTCAGTTCTGTCCTGTGAATGGGACTTTTTAGTATCCATACCTGCTCAGGGGCCTCATTTATAAAGCTCACTTACACACAACTCTCTCTCTATTCTCTCTTTATGCCAACCTGCGGGATTTATGAAACTCATCCTAAGCACTGCGCTTTGTTTAACTCTATGCCAACTCGGGACCTCCTGTAAGCGCTTGAATGTTTTGTGTGGACTTTTATTGGCAGAATAATTGTGCCTGATCTATATCTTTTATGTTACGTGCTAAATCTGTGTCCACGTATCCTTGTATCCCTCCCTCGCTTTTTTCGCTCTCCAGAGGAGGGCATCTGAATCTTTCGCACGCGCTCAATTTGTCCATTCAGACCCCCACGTGCGCGCTTCTACTAGTATAAGTGCATACACAGGGCCAGTCCCCACACACATCATAGGCAGACTTAAAAATATAGCGATAAAACGCTTGAAACAGCAAGAAAACACACTGGCTTTACTGCAAAGTTGTGCTGCCTAAATATTATGAAATATTATTAAATTAACAGATGAGTCGTTATTGTATTCCTTCCATGTAAGGAAGCTGAGACTGGGGACTCAGAGCCTCAGAGGAACTCCTGGCCGTGGAACACTGGACCAGCTCTACACTCTCCATCGGGTGCTCGAGGATTCATGGGAGTTTGCCCAACCAGTCCACATGTGCTTTGTGGACCTGGAGAAGGCATTCGACCGTGTCCCTCGTGGTGTCCTGTGGGGGGTGCTCTGGGAGTACGGGGTCCTGGGCCCTTTGCTAAGGGCTGTCCAGTCCCTGTACGACCGGACAGCTGGGTTCATTGCCAGCAGTAAGTCAGACCTGTTCCAGGTGCATGTTGGACTCCGCCTGGGCTGCCCTTTGTCACCGGTTCTGTTCATTGTATTTATGGACAGTATTTCTAGGCGCAGTCAGGGTCCGGAGGGGGTCCGGTTTAGGGACCACAGGATTTCATCTCTGCTGTTCGCAGATGATGTTGTCTTGTTGGCTTCATCGAACCAGGACCTGCAATGTGCACTGGGGCGGTTTGCAGCCGAGTGTGAAGCGGCTGGGATGAGGATCAGCTCTTCTAAATCCGAGGCCATGGTTCTCGACCGGAAAAAGGTGTCTTGCCTTCTCCGGGTGGGTGGAGAGTCCCTGCCTCAAGTGGAGGAGTTCAAGTATCTCGGGGTCTTGTTCACGAGTGACAGGAGGATGGAGGGTAAGATTGACAGTTGCAGCATCTGCAGTGATGCGGTCGCTGTATCGGACCGTTGTGGTGAAGAGGGAGCTGAGCTGAAAGGTGAAACTCTCAATTTACCGGTCAGTCTTCGTTCCTACTCTCACCTCTGGTCATGAGCTCTGGGTGATGACCAAAAGGACGAGATTGCGGATACAAGTGCTCGAAATGAGTTTCCTCCACAGGGTGGCTGGGTGCGCCCTTAGAGACAGGGTGAGGAGCTCAGTCACACGGGAGGAGCTCGGAGTAGAGCTGCTGCTCCTCCACGTCAAGAGGAGCCAGTTGAGGTGGCTCGGGCATCTGTTCCAGATGACTCCTGGGTGCTTTCCTTGGGAGGTATTCTGGGCATGTTCCACTGGGAGGAGGCCCCGGGGAAGACCCAGGACACGCTGGAGGGACTATGTCTCTCGGCTGGCCTGGGAACACCTCGGGGTCCCCCGGAGGAGCTGGAGGACGTGTCTGGGGTGAAGGAAGTCTGGGAGTCCCTGCTTGGATGGAGTCATTGTTGTCACTTTTAGTTAAGTATTTATTTGTTAAAGCTTGTTTAAGCCTTTGCCGTGTGGTGCTGCGTGGAGCGTCCCCCTCCCTCTCTGTTCAGTGTGTCTCGGTCACACCCACTGATTATCGGCTCATGTTTAGGGAAATCTCATTCACGAGTCACTTTACGTGCTTCTTTTATGGTGAGGTGGAGGTGTGGAGAGGGCGTGACGTGATGTGGGTTTATGTGCGCAAATTCTAGTTGCAGGTGGGATCTATAAAGCACAGATTGCATGGTTCAGTGCATGTGGTGGTTTGTTTAAATATGGAGTTTGCGTGGCACACGCCTCTCGTGGCTACTAGGCGTACGCACTAGCTTACGACAACTCCTGCGTAGTTTTTTATAAATGAGGCCCCTGATCTAGTTTCTATCCTAGTTTTCTAGGATCTGAGTTTTGATACTTTTGACAACCCAACTTTGGAAACAAAATTAGGCAATGAGTTTTAAATTGCCTCATGTTGATCAGATCAATGATTCTGTCCTTGCGTGGTCAGATATGTGCAGCCTCCCGTCATCACCTCTGATGCCATCTATGAGCAGAGCAGCCCCTTCTCTCCCATCATCTTCATCCTGAGTCCAGGCTCTGACCCTGCCACTGACCTTATGAAGCTGGCCGAGCGCTCGGGCTTCGGGGGAAACAAGTTTAAGTTCCTGGCCATGGGACAAGGGCAGGAGAAGGTACTGTGGTCTGCTCTCAGCACCTCTTTACACAGCTGGTAACTACAGTCATGCATCACAGCTTCATTTGCCCCACCAACACCAAGAACCAAGATATATTCCAAATTCAAACAATTCAACACAACTGACAGGAGAAAATAAACATATTGTCTGAATATTGAATACTGAATATACTCTGAATTAAACTGATTATGTAAAAAGGTTGTACTACGAGTACAATGTGTTAGTAACAAATTCATTCACATTATAGAAGAAATATACTCTACAGCTCAAAGTACTTATCTTTATAAAGTGCTGCACAAAATGGACAGAATGTAAACTAAAAGAGACATAGTCTGCTTTTTTACATCTTTTTTGTATGTTACAGGTAAAGATGATATCCAGGCATTCTATAGAATGTCTAGAGTTGGTTAGGCAGAGTATTTTATTGTTATTTAACGCATATTTTAACCTGTTTGTTGGATTGTTTGTGTATGCTTTTTGTTTTTTGTTTTGTTTTTTCTTCTGGATTGAAAATTTACATTTACAAAACAGCTCACACAGACACCCAAACAGAGTTTCATGATCAGTTGTTCCCCAAAGGCAAATTTTAATCAACCATCAAAACTCTTAAATGCTGATCATGTTTTTAAAGAAATTGAGCAATGAGATAGCAATGAGCTACATGAAGTATAAATCAAGCAGGAAAAAGCCATAAACATTTCCTAAGACATAACAGAGAAAGCTGAATTGACAATGACTGCAAACAGTTTACTTTCACTTTGTCAGATAGTCTCTATTTTGACCAAAGGCATTCTATATATGCCTAGTAGCGAATACTATTAATTATGTACTTTGCCATTTCAAGCATTCTACAGAATTCCCACTTTGCCTGCTGTAAAATTTTGTCACAGTGCCCCAAGTTTTGCATTTTGTTGTCATTATTGCAAAAATTTTAATAAAAACAGCTTTGTTTTTTTTAAATATGTAAAATAATAAGATTTTGAGTAATCTTGTCCTATTTTTAAGATGTCAGCACTCAGACACTCCAAGGCCCTGCACAGTTCTTCTATTTCTCATTTTTACACAATACTATAAAGTTGGCTTTTCTGCATGTAACAACATAAGCACTCAGGCTTTAGCCTTGTCAGTTGCTGTTAGGTAGTATTGCCTGAGTGATCCCTGTGTGTCCTATAGGTGGCACTGCAGCTGCTGGAGAAAGCTGTGTCTCTAGGGCAGTGGCTCATGCTGCAGAACTGCCACCTGCTGGTCAAGTGGCTCAAGGACCTGGAGAAGTCCCTGGAGAGGATCACCAAACCCCACCCCAGCTTCCGCCTGTGGATCACCACCAACCCCATTCAAGACTTCCCCATCGGCATCCTGCAAAAATCTCTCAAAGTAAATGTTTTGGATATTCATATTCTATACAGTGCCCAGTGTACAATGCAGGGACCGTCTCCACAGTGGTCATCTGGAGTCTGATTTTGCAGTCAAGTGTTCAGCTCCCATCCAGACGCCATTTTCATTTGACTTGAGGCACTAGGATTTTAGTCTAACCCCAAAGGGACAGTTTCATACCAATATTGATACTTTGGCTTTAAGTATCTGCCGATACCCAATATCAATTGATACAAATACATACAAAAGCACATGGTAAAAGTGATCCAAATGTGATCTATAACTGTTATTTATCATTTAGTAGTAATATCAGAGTAGCTTTGTGTTGTTTTGCATCAGGAAATCGTTTTTATAGACTAAAATGGGATTTTGGCTGAACTAGTAGAAGAAGAAGAAGCCAATAACTGATCCACAAAATTTTTCAATATCTGCGCAGATACTTGATAGCAGGATTGTATCGGTGCATCCCTAGTAATGAGATGCATGTAAAAACAGTGTGTCTGTCCCTGCTGCTGCTCAGGTGGTGATTGAACCCCCCAACGGTCTGAAGCTCAACATGAGGGCTACGTACTCCAAGATCTCGCATGAGTCTTTGAGCGCATGCCCGCACCCCGCCTTCCGCAGCCTGGTCTATGTGCTGGCCTTCTTTCACGCGGTTGTACAGGAGCGACGCAAGTATGGGAAAATCGGCTGGAATGTGCCCTATGACTTCAATGAGTCTGACTTCTTTGTGAGTGTTCTGGAGATGTGCTGCTCTGAGATCCTCTGAAAATTCACAGTTTTGTCCAGGGAAACCATGGCAACTCACTTTTAAACAGTGTTATCCTGTTCACCTGTGCTACCAGCCTTGATGATTTAAACCTAAAATTATACCAAATACACACTTTCTCTTGTTGGGTGGCACCATTCTTTCCCCCAAACACAGTTAATAACAGCCAATTTATATTAGTGGTTGTGTTTGCAAATTTTGATTATTGACAGTATATTTTTGAGGTTAGAGTTAAGATCAGGGTTAAGTTTAGGAACTGGAAAGTGGGTTTTGGAACAGGTTTACCAACCGGGTCTTTGCAAAATTGAGTTTCAATTTTTTAGACAAAAGAAAATTTAAAATAACGTTTTTTTCCTAACTGTGTTTAATTGATCACTAAAATGCTGAAAATGTGGCTGAATCGTAATATCTGCTGTAATCTCATCTGCTGATTATGAACTGAACTTGCTCAGCTACAGCACACAGCAGTGAAATGGTTTTGATTGACATGTAATGCTAAGCCCCGCTCTCGGACGAAATGGCAAGTATTTAGGGAGACCTAAAGGCTCTTGTAATCAGTCTGACACATCCACAGGTATGCATGGAGGTCCTCAACACATACCTGACCAAGGCCCACAGCCAGGGGGACAGCAGCATTCCCTGGGAAAGCCTCAAGTATCTCATCGGAGAGGTCAGCACTTTGATTTGACTGTGATAAAAGGAATATCTACAGAAGTTAAATGAGTTTTGCCATGACATTAACACTAACAACTAGTATGCTAATATGTTCTGTAATGCACTTTCTTATACTTTATAATTTCATGCAGACAGTACACAGACAGTGCACAACTGGCATTATCCAAAATAAATGTACAGTTTCTCCCACGTTCTAAAGTTGATCCCTCATCAAAAACATGCCTGAATTTTTTGTTGTCATCCATCCATGTTTGAGCAATCTAGCGGCCATATTCGAACCCTCTTTACAGTTAGATGTAAGATTCTGTGCAATACCCAGAGCCTATGTCACCCATATATGTGTGTATGTGTGTGTGTGTGTGTGTGTGGGTATGTGTGTGTGTGGGTGTCAGTCATCAAAATGTCAACAATCTGCCAGTAGAGCACATGTTTAAATGGCATATAGCAAGGAATAAAATTGCAAATTGGGCGGCACAGTGGCAAAGCGGTTAGCGCTCTTTCCTCACAGCAAGAAGGTCCTGGGTTGTATTCTGGGGCGGTACAGGGCCTTTCTGTGTAGAGTGTGTAGATTGCTCTGGTTTCCCCTACCACTAAAAAACATGTACAATAGGGTCCCCTGTGGGGCCAGGATTCCCCTGAGAAAGAGATTCTTAATCTCAGCAGGACTGTCCTGGTTAAATAAAGGTCAGATAAATAACAAATAGTAACGTAGTGATAATGATAATAATGATGAGTAGGACAAGGCCCCATTTTCATAAATGATGATTTAACTGTCAGAAAAATTTGCTCCTTTTGCAGAAATAGTCCTAGCACTTTGAATGGAATTTAATGAATTGCTTTTTTTCACAAATTGCCACTTGACTGATGTAAAACTATGATAAATGTTAATTTAAGGACTGTCCCTGCAAATGGAGCAAACCTTTCATATGCACTTTAATAAAATAAGGAAACAAGAGTAAAAAGCGGTGCTGTTGTGTGGTGGTGCAGGTGATGTACGGAGGTCGGGCCATAGACAGCTTTGACCGCAGAATCCTCACTATTTACATGAACGAGTATCTGGGAGACTTCCTCTTCTGCCCGTTCCGACGCTTTCACTTCTTCTGCAACAGTGAGGTGGACTACAAGATCCCCCCCGACGGGCTCAAGAGCGTGTACATGGGTGAGTGCTACTTCTACTAACTCTGGAACACTGTCTTATGATAGAGCTGTTAGAGTTCATGCTTTAGCCACTTACAGACATGTTCAGAATTGTTGGTACCCCTCTGGTAATGAAAGAAAAATCAACAATGTTCACTGAAATAACTGGAAACTAAGAAAAGCAATAATAAATAAAAATTTACTGAAAAAATAACCAATGAAAACCAGACACTGTTTTTGAATTGTTCTTCAATATAATAATAATAATAATAATAATAATAATAATAATAATAATAATAATAATAATAATTATTATTAATATTATATAATTATTATTATTATTATTATTAAAATAAAAATAAAACTGGCCTGGACAAAAATGATGGTTCCTGTAGAAAAGATTGTAAGTAACTGGACAATATGGACAAGTTAAACTTCGGTGTGTCTCTAATCTGCATCACAGGTGTTTTCAAACTTGTCCTCAGTCAGTCTGTCTGTTTAAAGGGGAACATGTGTCATTGTGCTGTTTGGAGACATGATGGACACAACACTGAACATGGACCAGAGAAAGAAGAAGAGAACTGTGTCAGGAGACTAGAAAGAAAATGATAGACAAGCAGGTTAAAGATAAAGACAATAAGACCATCTCCAAGCAGCTTGATGTTCCTGTGATTACAGTTACACATGTTCTTCACAAGTTTAAGGTCCACAGGACTGAAGCCAACCTCCCTGGACGTGGCTGCAAGAGGAAAATGTGTGACAAATTGAAGAGATGGATCATATGAATGGAACCAAAGAGCCCAGAACAACCTCCAAACTAATTAAATATGAACTTGAAGGGCAAAGTACATCAGTGTCAGATCACACCATCCATCAGTGTTTAAGCCAAAGTGGACTTCATGTGAGGACACCACTGTTGAAAATAAATCATAAAATAGTGAAACAGAATTTGCCTCAATGCATACAAGCCACAAAGCTTCTGGGAGAATGTTTTTGGACAGATGAGACAAAACTGGAGCTCTTTGGCAAGACACATCAGCTCTATGTTCACAGACACAAAAATGAAGCACAACAACAAAAGAACACTGTCCCTACTGTGAAGCTTTAGGAGACTTGGTTTTGTTCTGGGGCTGTTTCACTGCATCTGGCACAGGGTGTCTTGAATCTGTGCAAGATACAATGGAATCTCAAAACTATCAAGGTATTTTGGAATGAAATGTGTTGCCTAGTGTCAGAAAACTCAGTCTCAGTCATAGGTCATGGTTCTTCCAACAGGATAATGACCCAAAACACACAGTTAAAAACACACAAGAATGGCTAAGAACAAAAGACTGAACATTGGACTGTTCTGGAGTGTTCTTCTGTGAGCCCAGATCTTAATCCTACTGAACATCTGTGAAATGAGCTGAAACATGCTGTCTGGAGAAGGCATCCTTCACAAGAAGTGGGACAAAATACCAGTTGACCAGAGCAGAAGTCTCAATGACATCTACAGAAATTTACAGAAAGTGTACCTTAACCTCACCACAAATGTATTATCTGTATTTATTCTGATGGATATATCCTGATCTGACTAGTTCTGCTGTGTTGTGTGACAGAGGAGATCGAGAGTCTACCTTTAGCCAACACCCCTGAGGTGCTGGGGCTCCATCCCAATGCAGAGATCGGATACTACACCCAGGCTGCCAAGGACATGTGGGCCAACCTCATTGACCTGCAGCCCCAGACAGGTGAGTGCCACGCTCCCTCCTCATGCCGTAATCCCACTATTCTTACATACAATGACAACTCCCACTATAATCCAATATTTTTATCTGATTTGACCAGATTTTATCTCCTGCCCCAGTCTTGACAGGTTAAAAAAGATAAGGTGTTTTGAACAGGTTTTAAAAATATATAACTTAGTTGTGATAAATTTTAAATAAATGCGACTGTTCAGAGCTTTTAACCATGTTAGAATGATTTCCATTCTTATTTACTTATTTGCTAATACAGACATGTAACACTCAGGCCCAGGGGCCAAATTTGGCTCACGATATAATTATATTTGGGCTGCGAGATCATATCAAATCTGTATTAGAGCTGCCCCACCAGCTACACATTTATTTATTTAAAATGTTGTTATTATTTCATATTATGCTTGTTCTGATGAAATTTTTCAATAAATATTTAGTTTGGCCCACAACTTAGTCCCAGTTTTAAATTTTGGCCCTCTGAGAATTTGAGTTTGACACACCTGTGCTAATAAGTCATGCTAAATGCAATGACATTTTGTCCTGCATTCAAGAAATCATTGCTCCGATCTACATGACGAGTCAAAAGTTTGGACACACTTTTTCATTTATGTTTATTTACATTGTAGATTCTCACTGAAGGCATCAAAACTATGAATGAATGACGCTTATTGGTGGTGGTGGTGGTGGTTTTCAGATTCTAGAATATGATGTCATACTCTCAGATGGAGGGTAAGGGCCAGTTTTCCCTGTTGATCATTAGTGTCTAGACCCAAGAACTCGCTGTATCACAACAGATATGTGTAATTTAACAATATTAATTTTAGCTATCAAGACACAGTTGTGAAGTGAAAACCATTTCATATATAAAAAAAAAACATTTATTCCACTTTTTTGCTACATGATTTCATATTTCTTGCATCATATATTTGATGTATTCTGCATATAAAATGTACTAAGTGGTAAACCTAAAGAAAAATACACCCACAGTTCTGTACTTCCTCCTTTGGTTTCAATGTCTTAATCAGTGACATGTGTAGGATTCGGCAGTGGCGCTTTGTCAATAACTGCCTCAGTGTAGTGTGAGCGTGCAGCAGAGCTCAAGTGTGCTTTTTGTGCAGGTGAGTCCAGCGGCAGCATCAGTAAAGATGAGCACATCAGCCAGGTGGTTCAGGACATCCAGAGGAAACTGCCCATGCTCTTTGACCTGGATATGATCCCCAAGAAACTGGGCGCTAAGGTCTCTCCCACCACAGTGGTGCTGCTACAGGAGCTGGAGCGCTTCAACAGGCTGGTGGTCCGCATGCAGCGCTCCCTGGCTGAGCTGCAGAGGGTGAGGGGGGAGGTCAGGGGCACTCAGGGGTTACTCAGGGGGGCATTAAGGGCATTAATAGGTTTTCTTTAGACAATAGAATGCGATTTTCAACATTTAATGGTAGTACTTTTTTCTATTCCCATGTGGTCTTATATGTGTGTAATCCTTCAGTGGTCCAGGTAGGTTCCATAGTGGTCCATGGACGTATACTAGCAGGAGTGTAGTGGGTGTGGTATGTGGGGGTACACAGTCCATCCACCCACTTCTCCCAAAGTGAGCTAAAGAAAAAATAACAAATATAAAATAGCTACAACTTAAATGTCAAACTGGAGCTATTGGCAATGGTGAAAATAACCTGCATAGGCTCATGAAATCTGAAGTACTGTCCTATAGTGACCTGAGACACTAGACCAGGACTGAACCAGGACTGAATCATCATCCGCTTTCACTTTGTTTCACTTCGTAGAAACCTTCTGACCTCGCAGTGTTAGAATTTGTTCGCTCAATGGTAGGTGGGTACTTTTTATCATTAACCAATCGCTGCTATTTAGTCGTGATGTATGTATGTAATGCGCCGCTAACGGGGACTAACTGGTATACAGTATTAAGCTTTTCCCAAATCCCGTAGGAAGAAGGGAAATAACGTCTTTCTCCTTGATGAAATTCACCAAACATTCTCTTTATTCCAGGCATTAAATCCTCGATCTCAGAAATTGCTGACAACACAGAATGTCTGGCTCTTACCTGATTGGCTGCTGCCTGAACTTGCACTTTCAGGGTTTTTGTGAACTGTCTTTTGTATGTTGATTCCTGACCTAGTTGCTGGAGAGAAAGGAAATTGAGCGGAGGCACTAGGTGGTGCCAGCATGGGTGGGCGGGGGTCACATCGATGATGTCACGAATTGTGTACCCCCACTTCACCACTGTATACTAGTCTATGTACTCTTCTACTTGTTCTGATGCAGCTCAAGATCATTCTAAAGACATTTAGGAAAGATTTGTTTCTGTCCTATCAATCCAACTTTTTAGTATCCATACATAATCAAATGAGTGTGTGTGTATGATTAGCAGTGGACAGAGAGGCTGTTGGCACGAAATAGCAGTCTTCCTTTTATCACTCTGCTCTGACTGAGAAGTACACTGCCAGTCAAACGTTTTTTCAATTATTTATTGCAATTCAAGTCGTGCAAGTCCAGTGAAGAGCCTGAAATGGTACAAAGGTACGAACTGAACAGACAGAGGTTAAAAAAGATAAAAGACACAAAACACAAGTCCAAGTTCTGCCAAAACGACCTCAGGAAAAAAGATCAAGATGGTAAAGCTTGAAAACCTGGAGTGTCCAGCAGCAGCACAGTGTCCAGACTTAAACCCCATGGAGCTGGTTTGGGATGAACTGGACAGAAGAGTGAAGCAACCTACAAGTGCCACACATTTATGGAAACTTCTGCAACAGACTTGGGAAGAACTTTCTGAACAATATTTGATTTCTATTGTAAAAAGAACGAGCCGCGAGTGTGTTTAGCTGTTCTATCTGCCAAAGCTGGACACACACATCAATCAAAAGTTTAGAATATCTTTTGGTCAACAGTAAACAGTAAACAGTAAAAAAGTGTGGTGTTCTAAAACTTTTGACTGGTAGTATACCTTACACCAGCGAGTGTCTTAAGAATGTTAAAGAATATAGTATAGTTAAAGATTGAATGTCGTGCAGTATGTGCAGTACAGCGTGTTCTCTAAATGGTGTGTGTGCTGTGTACAGGCCTTGGCAGGAGAAGTGGGCATGAGCAGTGAGCTGGAGGAGATCGCCCACGCTCTGTTTAATGGGCACATCCCTGCTGTTTGGAAGAGACTGGCTCCAGACACTCTCAAGTCACTGGGCAACTGGATGGGCCACTTTAGGAGGAGACATGAGCAGTACCACCACTGGGTTAGACACTGTACAGCATTTGTTCTTATTGTGTGCTCTCTTTAAGGCATCTAAATGAGTATTAGCAACAGATCAGCAGCATACAGAACATTTCCAGCATTACAGAATACATACTTTAAGATAAACTTACTTGGGCTTACTTAGATACTTCAGTTTTTAGAAAATACTTTTCTCTTTACAGTTGATACATGCGCTGCTTCATTTTACAGGAACAAACTGGAACATGTCCCTCCCACTTCTCTATTTGTTACTTTGGATGTAACTGAAGTACTGTGATATGGTATCCTCAAATGTACTACAGATAATACAGAAATACAGATAATACAGTAATACAGAACAATACGGTACAATACAGTAAATCAGAGGGAACTTATTTAGCACTTTTAATTCTTATCTTTCTATTCTGTCTGTAATGATTCACATTAAGATCTTCTCAAGACATTTAAAAAGGAAAAAAAAAAATGTATTTCTACAACTCTTATACACACATGTTCAAAAATTGTTGGTACCCTCTCTGGTAATGAAAGAAAAATCAACAATGGTCACTGAACTAACTTGAAACTGAGAAAATCAATAATAAAAAAATTTAAATTTAATGAAAAATAACTAATGAAAATCAGACACTATTTTTGAATTGTTGTTGTTGTTGTAGAATAATTTTTAAAAGCAAACTGATGAAACTGGCCTGGACAAAAATGATAAATCTCCCTAGAAAAAATTGTAAATAGTTGGACAATATGGACATGTTAAATTAGGTGTGTCTCTAATCTGCATCACAGGTGTTTTCAAACTTGTCCTCAGTCAGTTCTGTCTGTTTAAAGTGGGACATGTGTCATTGTGCTGTTTAGGAGACATGATGGACACAACACTGAACATGGACCAGAGAAAGAGAAGAAGAGAACTGTGTCAGGAGACTAGAAAGAAAATGATAGACAAGCAGGTTAAAGATAAAGACCCTAACCCTAACCCTAACCTTAACCATCTCCAAGCAGCTTGATGTTACTGTGATTACAATTACACATGTTTTTTCTTCAGAAGTTTAAGGTCCACAGGACTGAAGCCAACCTCCCTGGACGCGGCCGCAAGAGAAAAATGTGTGACAAATTGAAGAGATGGATCATATGAATGGAACCAAAGAGCCCAGAACAACCTCCAAACTAATTAAATATGAACTTGAAGGGCAAAGTACATCAGTGTCAGATCACACCATCCATCAGTGTTTAAGCCAAAGTGGACTTGATGTGAGGACACCACTGTTGAAAACAAATCATAAAAAAGAGAGACAGAATTTGTAACAATGCATACTGATGACAAACCACAAAGCTTCTGGGAGAATGTCCTTTTGGACAGAATGAGACAAAACTGGAGCTCTTTGGCAAGACACATCAGCTCTATGTTCACAGACACAAAAATGAAGCACAACAAGAAAAGAACACTGTCCTTACTCTGAAGCACGGAGGAGGCTTGGTTTTGTTCTGGGGCTACTTTGCTGCATCTGGCACAGGGTGTCTTGAATCTGTGCAAAATACAACAGAATCTCAAAACTATGACCAAAAACGCAGCAAAAAACAGACAAGAATGGCTAAGAACAAACATTGGACTGTTCTGGAGTGTTCTTCTGTGAGCCCAGATCTTAATCCTATTGAATATCTGTGAAATGAGCTGAAACATGCTGTCTGGAGAAGGAACCCATCAAACCTGAGACAACTAGAGCAGTTTGCTCACGTGGAGTGGGTCAAAATACCAGTTGACCAAAGCAGTCTCAGTCTCACTGACATTTACAGAAATCATTTGTTTGCAGAGTTTGCCTCAAAAGGTTGTGTAACAAAATATTAAGTTAGGGGAACCATTATTTTTGTCCAGGCCAGTTTCATCATTTTGTTTTTTCTAATGATTCTGTTGAACCACAGGTGAAAAACAATGTCTAATTTACATAGGAACATTTTCAGTAAAACTGTATTTACTATTGCTTTTATCAGTTTCAAGTTATTTCAGTGACCATTGTTGATTTTTCTTTGATTACCAGACGGATACCAACAATTTTGAACGCATCTGTAAGTACTCATATATAAATATTGTATGCCTTTTTAAGTACAATTTGGTTTGAAATTCATATAAATTGCAACAATCAAAGCTATATTTGGTACTTTGGTTTAAAGACTTGAAATGACTTGAAGCTCAAAGCAAACAACTTGGACTTGACTTGGATGTATGGGCCAGTGACTTGAGATTGGCTTGGGCTTGCCTGTATTTGGCTTCGGGACTTGACTCATACTTGAGGTAAAAAACTTGAGACTTACTTGAGACTTGCAAAATAACGACTTGGTCCCACCTCTGATACATACACAAATGTACTATATTATATACTGCGACTATAGGCTGACTGGTCACTCTCTGTCCTGCAGGTGGAGGAGGGTGAGCCTAAGGTCATGTGGCTGTCTGGACTGCACATCCCAGAGTCCTACCTGACCGCTCTGGTGCAGACAGCCTGTAGGAGGAACGGCTGGCCCCTAGACCGGTCCACTCTCTACACCCAGGTCACCCAGTACCGCAGTGAGGATGAAGTGCCCGACCGCCCCTCCCAGGGTAAGAACACACCACAGACACACCAGATGGATGAGAAGCCACTGGTGGAGATCTCCAGACATTTCAAGTATAAGTAGAGAGAGAGTAGAGAATAATAATAAATAAATAAAGAATAATACATTTAATTTATAGTGCTTTTCAGGACACTCAAAGATGCGTTACAGAATACATATTAAAATGGTCAGAGAGCAATAAACAAATAATGCAGTAAAGAAAAAAACTGTGAATCATTTTGACAAAAGTTAAACATTAAAAGCTCTTCTAAATGGATGGGTCTTGAGAGTTGTTGAGGTGGTGAGTTCCGGGGGGGGGAGTCTGTGTCTCCACAGGTTCGGAGCTTGGTACCACAGGGGAAGGACAGCAGGTTGGATTAAGAGGAGCAGAGGGAGCGGGATGGAGTGTGGGGGTGCAGCAGGTGTGGAGGGAGGGCTTAGAAAGTGATGAAGAGGAAGTGGATGCACAGAGGGATGAGGAGCCAGTGTAGGTTCTGACAGGAGCCAGTGGAGGTTCTGACAGGAGGTGGGCAGTGGGGTTTTGGATGTACTGCAGAATGCTATTGCTGGAATCTTTCCTTTGAACACCACATCAAACACATCACTAAAACCGCCTTCTCTCACCTCCGGAACACTGCTCGTCTCCGCCCATCCCTCTCCCCTCTGTCTGCTGAAACCCTCATCCACGCTTTTGTCACCTCCCGCCTCGACTACTGCAATAGCTGCTCTACATACAGAACTCTGCTGCCCGCCTCCTCACCCGCACCTCCTCCCGTGAACACATCACCCCTGTCCTCAGAGATCTCCACTGGCTCCCCATCCCCCAGCGCATTCAGTTCAAACTCCTCACCATTGTGTACAAGTCCCTCCACAACCTGGCCCCCACCTACCTCTCCTAGCTCCTCCACCACCACACCCCCGCCCGTGTCCTCCGATCAGCTGATGTCAACCTCCTGTCTCCCCCTGCCAGGACTAAACATAAGACCTGGGGTGACAGGGCCTTCTCTGTTGCTGCCCTCACCCTCTGGAACTCCCTGCCCAAACACATCAGAGACTCATCCACACTCCCCATGTTTAAAAAAGCCCTGAAAACCCATTGTTAGAGAATTTTGTGTTAGAAGTATTACTCATTTAAAGTATGAATCATTTAAAGTATTAATCATGATACAATATAAGATTATCAACATTGCTTTGTGTTTTGTTCAAACTGTATGTAAACATGAAAACATCAGCTGATCTTGCTGATGCACCAGCTGACTCATTAAGAAAATGTACCTGGACAAACAACTAGTAATGGTAAACATCATGAGGTTAACACAGGACTCTGGGGAATTGCTAGAGGCTTTCTACCACCTGGAATGTGAAATCTGTGTATAATGGGGGGCTGTGTCAGTGGAAGCTTGTCAGTCATGAGATAACATGTGAACAATAGGTACTGTATTCAATGTAACCTATTGTATGATAATTGTGTGCTCTACAATAAAAGGGCTTCAGTTAGGATGAGACAGGCAGCGCTCTCCTACTCCTTGCGCAAGTAAAAAGAACCACTGTGTCTCTGGCGTGTTCTTTAATGATTGAGGTCAGGGTAAATTCCCTGACCCCATCTCTTTAAAAAAAAAAAAGCTTTCATTAACTGTCTTTTTCTCTTGTTTGTTGTTGTTTGTCTTCCCATGTAAAGCGTCTTTATCTTGAAAAGCGCTATACAAGTGTTATGTATTATTATTATTATTATTATCTAATCTGGAGGTGATGAATCCGTGGCTCAGAGAAAACTTGGATGTTGTCTGTTTCATTGTAACTGAATCATTCTAATTCTCGTAAAGAAGATAAATATTTTCTTATGTATACTGCCCCAGGGTAAACCAAGACTGTGTATGTGTGTGTGCACAGGCTGCTTCCTGTCTGGCCTGTACCTGGAGGGAGCAGACTGGGACATGGAGCAGGGCTGTTTAGTTCGGAGCAAACCGGAAGTCCTGGTAGTAGAGCTGCCCATTCTCCACATTATTCCCATCGAGGCTCGCCGCCTCAGACTGCAGGTGATGATGCAGATCAGAGAGGCATTTTAGGCTTATTTCTCACAGGAGGCTCGCTCTTCTCTCTGATTGGATAATCGTCTTGACAACCAAAACACCACATAACATAACATTACCAATGCAATGGCAAATGTTATGGTAACTAAGAATAAATAAGCATTATATTATTGTTGACAGTAAAAGCAGCATTTGATTTGGGAATGCTTTACTTTCACAGATGGGGACTTGTGACTGTGACTTGAGTCAAACTGGAGTCACTATTTTTAGGACTTGAGACTTGACTTGATAAATTGGACTAAGTCTTGGGACTCGACATAGACTTGAAGGTCATTGACTTGGGACTTGACTCGGACTTGAGCCCTGTGACTTGAGAAGACCCAGTGCTTCTCCTAAAAAAAAATACATGTTTTTAGAAAATACTTTTCTCTTTTCACTTGATAAATGTGGTGCTGAATTTTACAGGAACAAACTGAGACATTTTTCTCCGAACTTCTGTTTGTTACTTTGGATGTAACTGAAGTACGGTGATATGGTATCCTCAAATGTACTACAGTAATATACAATACAACACTAGTATATACAGTACAGTACAATAGACTAATATAAAGTACAACACAGTAAAACAGAAAGAACTACAACTACCTTCCTTTTCAGTGCAGACTACACAATAAAATAACTATTATTAAGCATTTTTAAATCTGAATTCTTTCTGTTGTGACCATAATGATGCAGATTTTGTCAAGACTTTTAAAAAGGAAAAATTTGCATTTCTACAACTCTTATATAAATACTCATATAAATGCACAATGAGTTTTTAAGAACAATTTAGTTTAAAATTCAATATAAAAGTCAAAAATCTAAACTATATTTGGTTCTTTGGTTTAAAGATCTGAAATGACTTGAAGCTTAAAGCAGATGATGGACTTGAGGTCAAAGACTTGAGACTTACTTAAGACTTAAGACAAAACAATGACTTGGTCCCACTTCTTTCTCCTTCTTTCTTTACTTTACAGAAATGGGTAATGGGGATAAAAATAAATATTACAAAAATATGTACTATGCATTTACAGTTATTCTTTAAAAAACTGTTTTGTTTTTAAAAGTCTATTAAAATTAAGCTAACTCGTTATACATAGTAACTAGAATGTCACAGGTGCCTGCACAGTCTCAGCTCCTAGTCCTTGTAAATTGTAAACTGATGTGTGTGATTGTTTGATTGTTGTGCTACAGGAGAGCCTGAGGACCCCCGTGTACACCACGTCTCTGCGCAGGAACGCCATGGGAGAGGGCCTGGTGTTCGAGGCCGACCTGAACACGGCCGACCACCTCTCCCACTGGGTGCTGCAGGGTGTCTGCCTCTACCTCAACACAGACTGAACCAATGGCAAAATAATATAATATAATAATAATATTCACATTATTAAATCCATGTTTGAATCTATTACCTCACATTGGATTTTTTCCAGGTACACCTGGCAATACCGTAAGGCATGAGTGGAAATTCAATGCTATAGAGCTTGGAAATTGCAATCTGAGCTCCAGTATTGGTAACACTTCCCACTGTGATTAAGTCCTGTATTACACAAAATGGATTCTTGTGAACTTTTAGTCATGTTGGAACATTGGTACCTCCCAGAGCTGGGGACTTGAAAGTCATGACTTGGACTCAAGTCAGACTTGAGGTACTATTTTTAGGACTTGGGACTTGACTCAGACATGAGGCCTGTGACTTGAGAAGATTTGATGCGGCTCCTAAAAATATATGTTTTTAGAAAATACTTTTCTCTTTACAGCTGATAAATGCGGTGCTGAATTTTACAAGAACAAACTGGAACATTTCCCTCCCACTTCTGTTACTTTGATTGTAACTGAAGTACTGTGATCTGGTATCCTCAAATGTACTACAGTAATACAGTACAATACAGTACAGTAAAACAGAGGGTACTACATAGAACCTCAGTACTTCCTTCCATTTCAGTACAGACAAAATAGCTGTTATTTAGCACTTTTAAATCTTAATTCTTTCTCATAATGATTCACACTAAGATTTTGTCAAAACATTTAAAAAGGAAAAAATGCATTTCTACAACTTGTATATAAATATGCCAGGAATATTTTAAGTACAATTTAGTTTAAAATTCATATAAACTGCAAAAATCTAAGCTATATTTGGTACTTTGGTTTAAAACCTTGAAGCTCAAAGCAGACAACTTGGACTTGACTTGGACTTATGGGCCAGTGACTCGAGGCTCGACTTGGACTTGCCTGTATTTGACTTGGGACTTGACATGGACTTGAAGTTAAAGACTTGAGACTTACTTCAGACTTGGAAAACAATGACTTGGTCCCACCTCTGTTACCTCCTCAAAAAAAAAAATACCTGGAGTGGTATTGTTTCATTCACACATTTTAGTAATCCTGGTTTATTAGTCTGTTTACATCTCCAAAGCTCAAAATGTTCATTAGTTTGGCAATTCGAGAGCTGAATTTAACCAAATGATTCTAGTAAAGGTGTATGGAGTTTAAAAACACAGTGGAGCACTTCCTGTATTGTTTGTTTGAGAGAAGAGGACAGCCTGAATATGCAGAATTTCTGTGTTAAACATGTGTAAATGAAACAAAACAAGAACTCCATGTCTGTTTTTGCTGAGGGAACATAGCAGAAAACAGCATAATATATGCACCAACCTCGCGTCATGGGCCCTTAGAACCATTAATACCCAAAGCTGGTGAAACTGGATACTGATCAGAAAACATTTTATTTAGTAGAAATTACTTGTGAAATGATGGCAGAATTTACAACATGAGCTGCAGCAGTTACAAAACCAACAGAGGCACTTCTGTAGGAGAAACGACCTGCAAATCTATCCGCACTCACAAGGAAACATCACATTAGTCATACAGAGAGGTGGAACTAGCACGTTAAAAAACAGTGTGTGGACATGAGACAGCTTTGCAAAGTATTCAGTCAGTCGCATAGTGTAGCAGTGTGGCTCCTCTCATTTGAACATTGTATATACAGGGTTTGGCCCCACATTACTTTTGGAAGCAAGTATCAAAGTGGACAGAAGACGGAAAGACTGCCTTCACACCTGAACTCAGAGCACACACACACACACACACACACACACGGCAATTCAAGTCAAATCTCATGAGCACTGGACACAAAAGGTTTCAGAAGGAGATTTCAGATCAAATTGATGCAAGCAGAAGATGTCCAGTGGTTATTTGTCCAGTGTGGCTCATTTAGTCTGTAGTGTAGACTTTTATAGCCAAGTCCTGGCACATGATCTTGACAGTTCATATTTCCTCTACTAAGTGTTTCAGGTGCACTATGCAATGGCCCGTTTTCATCAGCCCTGTGTGGCCTAGTTGTGTTTCCATGGAGCTAAACAATAACCGCCTACCCTGATTCTGCAAATAAAGTTCTCATTCATTTTTCCCACAGACTTTCTGGGGAAAAAAAGAAGTAAATGTGCCTTTTGGACTTAAAACAACCGCATCATGTTAGCAAATAGCTGGTTAGTCTCCACAGTGCCTTTGACCTCTTAATATCTGAATTTTTCAAAAAGTCTATGGGAAAAAAAACATTTACATTACTCTTGTGCTGTATCCATGGCCAGTCAATGACCAGACACTGAGGCTGGTGGAAACGGGACTTAACTTTTCTGGTGGAGACTCTGCCACTGTAAGGCTCAGAATCACATGGTCCCTCACCATTTGATACATGGATCACAATACATGCAACAATCAACACAGAGGATGATACTGCATGATAATGATATATCACTAGTTTCAAAAAATAAAAAAAAAGAACTTTTAACAACAGTAGGCTTTTTCTTTGTTAAACCATTACCTGCAGAAACATAATCTAAAATACACCCATCATCAAACAATGTGTCAAACTACATTGTAACATGACTGTCACAAAATATAGTCATCATGTGCTGCTGTATCCATATATTAATCACCACATTGTTATTCACCATTTATTGCTTAGCCTGGAGCGGATGGCATCAAACTTATCTATCTTGTGTTTATTCAATAACAGCTGTTTTTATTGCTAAGGAAATACTTGAAAGTGCATGCATTCTTGCTGGGGATCACCTCTCCACAGATCTCACCAATAATTTCCTGTGTTGACATCACCTGCTTGTCTCCATGGGGATAGAAATGTTTAAGCTACACTGTGGAACATTGCAGGCAGAGCAAAAGCATCTCCATGGAGACAAGCATGTGTTCGATCCTCTCCCAGAAAAGTTACGTAGTGCACCTTTTTCATAAAATTAAAATTTTAAAATAACCTGAAA